CTGGATTTATTAAGTGAAGAGTATGTATTTTCTTTTAAGATCAGAATTAACTTAATCTTCTTCACTGACATTTGCCTTTTTCGCCACACTTTCCTTGGAAGGTAACAGTCAAAACATTAGATTATGCATTATGAAAATTGGTAAGGGAAAATGTTCAGAGATAGGCAGTGCTTGGTGCCACCCAGCCACTGTGGCAAGGAAGCACATTTCAGGCAGCAACATGTGTGTAACAGCACAGCAAAACCTGTACATTCACATGCAACAATATCAAAACAAAAGATCAACTTCAAAATCGTAGAAGCACAAAGTTGTGGCAAGGTAGCACAAAGCGAAATGGCAGAAGCATCATTTTCTTCATACTGTCCTCATTCCAGCCTCCCTCCCCTCTTCTCTTCATGAAGCCAAACATACCAGGAATAAAAACCACACAAAATCAACTAACCCAAAATTCCTCAGAGCGAACAAGAGCAAAACAGACAGTAGTCTCCCAAAGTGGACAAGAGTACAAGGCATGGGAGGCCTATAATTCAAAATGACAGGCCCTATATCATGTTAGAGTGCATTTCTTAAGTAACAAGTAGTAAGTGATGTAAGTGATTTAAGGATCAATGCAGCAGGGAGTGGGCCAACATTGTATAGTTACAGCCAGGGTGGGGCAGCTGCAAGGGGAATAAAGGAACCAAAGTGCTACTCCTTGTTGTGGGTTGTTGGAGCTGGGTCGTTGGAGTAGGTTGTTGGAGGCGGTTGCTGGAGCTGGATTGTTGGAGAGGTGCGTTTGGAGGAGTTCGCTGGAAGGAATTTGGAGTTCCACAAGGCTTATGTCTCAAAGAGAACATTTGGACTCTGTGTGTGTGTGTGTGTGTGTGTGTGTGTGTGTTCTTTTATAAGCTCTGCAAAAGGCAAAGACTGATTTTGTTCCTTGATCAAAGGTAAAAGGCTTCCACATCTGTGAGTGTCTACATTCATCTTCATTGCAGCATTCATCTTCATCACGACATGATCTGATCACAGGTTTTCTGCTTTAAATTGGATTATATCAGTCCGCACTGCCAGATAAGCTGGAACAAACAGAAAACCTGGCATCAGATCCTGAGAGAGCAGCAAGAACCCAAAACAGCATTTTCTGATAATGTTTCCTGAAGGAAAAGAGCAGTAAGATATCAATGTGAAAATGGCACATGTGTCATACTACATTTTGCATTTGTGAATGAACATCTCTATTGCACAGATTTTGCTTTGATAATCACAGCTTCTTGAGAGAGAAAGAAAGAGATCATTGTGAATTCTACCGGTTCTGACAAATCTGGCAACACATACTTGTAAAGAAAGAGAACAAAGTGTGGCATGCCCATGTGAGGGTTCAGCTACTTGGGCAGTTTTTTTTAGTGATGAGAAAAGGGAATGAAGTACTTACAAACATAATCATTTCTCATTCGTAGCAGATTTTTTTCTTGTTTCTCCAAAGCAAATGGGAGCCTTACCACTTTCACTTCAGTCTGGTGCACTGACAAATGGATAAGCAAACATTTGTCTTACTGCCCTCTTGTCCTTTGTCAGGAGGGATGAGGGGAGCTATTTCCTGTTGAGAAATTTGAGTATTTGCAGGGGGAGTGCAGAAAAAAAAAAGCCAGAGTTTAATTTGAGAACAGACATTCCTGACAAGCAGTTATGAAGATTTGTTTACTCATGCTTTCTTCAGAAGACACAATGCAAAAATACATAGGAAAATATTGGCATCTTTTTAAACATTCTGATGAGTCTTACATAGTGAAAGAAACTATTATTTTTTTGCCCAAAACTTGGTTCTTTATCAATGAAGTCAACAAAACTAATTGATTAAGCATCTGCCTATACATTATTTATGTATGCTTTCAAGCAACCTGTCAACTTATGGTGAATCTGAGAATTTCATAAGATGTTCTTTGACAAGGAATATTCAGTGGTAGTTTGGCACTTCTGCTCTCTGAAATATACATTACGGAACCAAATGTGTCTTGAGTATAAACATCCAGTATGGATAACATTTGTCCTTTTATAATATTGACCATTTTGTGCCTCAAATGTTAGACCTGTTTCTAAGTATATTTAACTTGCTAGTTCCAAAGATGGCACCAGTTTTCCCCTATCAGCTCTCGTTTTTGAGATACCAAACATGTGACATCTACTAGTCTTCATCTGCTCATCCATAGAAAATCATGATAGCCATGTCTAAGAAATTAGAGCTGGTGCAGTCTATGAAATCCAGTTTTCCGAATCAGCACTCCAAATAACCCCAGGAATAATCCTAAAAACTGAGACACAATCTACAAAAAATAGAGTATAATTTAGTTGTTTGTTCTTATTAATTGTAAAATCATTGGTCAGGACTTTGAGAATGTATACTAAAAACACTGGGCACCACTAGGATAAGAAGTACATCATCAATTGGAGCAATTGGAGATTTACAGTGATGATATTTTTGGTAGGATTTTCAAAATTAGGTATGTGCAGATCTTTATATGGAGGGGGCAAGAGTTAATGCTTTCTAAACCTTTTGACTTGCAAATACAAGTCCCTCAGAAATATGAAAATAAGGCCTGTTCCTCAGCCTCAGACATTTCAACAATTCTTTTCTATTTGGACTTCTTTCAGCAGTTTCAGTAAAGGGCTGTATGACCATGTCCCAGTAGCATTCTCTCCTAATATTTTGCCTGCATCTGTGGCTGGCATCTTCAGCCACAGATGCATGTGAAACATTAGGAGAGAATGTTACTGGAACATGGCCATACAGCCTGAGAAACTCGCAGCAACCCAATGATTCCGACCATGAAAGCCTTCAACAAAACAGTTTCATTAAAATTGGTCATGAGAAGGGAGTTATAGCTGTCACTATGTTACAGTAGGGGTTGCCATTTTGGAATCAGTTTTCATTTGCTGAAAAATTAAAGTTTAAAGCCACCCGTTAGCTACTTGGCTGTTTCAGTTCTACTGGAATGACAAGGAAGGAGGAAGCTAAGGGTCACTCAACTTGATCAGTCTTTTGATGAAATTGGCTAGAAAGAGAAGAAGGCATCTGCTGAATACACAAGGTTAAAATAAGTTTTGTTTCCTTTTGCTAAGGTCTTTTCTTTTTGCCTTCTTAGGACCAATTAAGCGGGAGGGGTATTTGACTCAGCCTCATTCTGAATAATTCTGCATAATTCTTGCTTGTTGGCATGTGAGCAGTGATAGCCATCACCTCATTTGGTATTTCTGTTGAAGACTTGGTGAAACATTTAAGTAATCTTGTGATGGACAAAGTACTTGGTCCTTCCTTTGTCCCAGATATTTACTGTGACTGGTTCTGTTGACATGTTTTGCTGTGCGTCAGCTTATGTTTAACAAGACAGAAGGAAAGAAGACCTTTCATTTGATTGCTTTCAGATTTGTGTATTAATCTCTTCCCTTATGTCTCCAAACCGTCATCTCTCTGCTGCCAATTGATCTCCCATAAGCGTTTTCCTTTTTTAAAAAAATTGTGGCACCAGCTGCTTTGTGCTGAAGTCTGCCAACATTGAACTGCCTGCTGCCTGTGGCTGTGATTTGGCAGCTTAAATGAGAAAAGAGAAACATTTTTAATGGTTGGAATTACGTTTCCAGCCTGGGGGTCATTTCAGGCAGCAGGCTGTATGATGGATGTGGAGGCTTCTCCCTTTCTGTCCTTGGACAGTGCAGACGCATGGTTCCTTGAGATGTGGAAAAGAAGACTATATTGGTAGGCCACTAACTAGCTTACAGTCTGCAGGTCAATTTTTAAGCATGTCAGAAGCGAATTGAGGGCACAGTTAAAATATATTTTAAACACAAACAAAGTTACAAAACTTGGCATTATGCTAAATGTCCTTTGACCAGTAGCTGGCCACTTGGAGTGCCTCTGGTGTTGCTGTGAGAAGGTCCTCCGTTGTGCATGTGGCAGGTGGTCTGTAGTTTGCTCTGCTCAACACTTGCATGTCGCGGACTCCACTTTGTAGTCCCATTTCTTAAGGGTAGCTCTGCATCTTGTGATGCGAGAGCACAGTCTGGTCAGTGCCTTCCAAGTCACACAGTCTTCTGTGTGCCCAGGAGGTAATCTCTCGTTTCGTATCAGTCATGGCTTGAGGTTACGAGTTTTAGCCTGCCACTTTTGGGGTCTCACTTGCTGAGGTGTTCCTGTGAGCATCTCTGTAGATCTTAGAAAGCTATTTCTTGATTTAGGGTGTTGGTGTGCTGGCTGATATCCGAACAGAGGATGTTCTGAAGATGTCTCCGCCTTGGTCCTTTCATTATTGGCTGCTTCTTCCCAGCAGATGTCAGGTGGTGCAATACTGGCTAAACAGTATAATTTTTCCAGTGGTGTGGGGTGTAGATATCCTGTGATAATGTGGCATGTCACATTAAGAGACACATCCACTGTTTTAACCTAAGATGCATTCCACCCTGGGCATGCATATTCAGCAGCAGGGTAGCAAAGCGCAAGGGCAGATGTCTTCACTGCATCACTGTGCAAGTCAAATGAATGGAAGTCAATAGGAACAGCCACAGTGACCTAATGAGAGTGAATGGGGGTTACAGGCAGAGAAGTTCAGCTCGAGAACAAGACTTTGTCTTGGAGATGAAAACGAGAAAAAATCCTTCTTGAGGAAATAATCCTCGTTTTGAAACTTTTTTAACGTCCACGTGGCCTTCTTTTGCATTATGTACCATTCATAGTCTGCTATGAAAAGGGTTTCAGTGTATTATGTGGTTATGAGTATGAGCAGATGGATAGATGAACATATGGACAATTCCACCAATTTTACATATGCGAAGGAGCCTAAAAGCCCAAGTCATACTTCTCTTAAGCTTCTCTGCCTGGATAATGTTATTCTTTGCCACAGATAACTAGGAAACTGGTTGTTGACAAGCAGAAATGTTGGGAAGAGATTCATAAATTTGTTCTGTTACATGCTGCAGATTTATGATGAACACAGATTAAGCAAGTCATTTTTATCTCCTTTTTCTAGGGTCTACTTACAGCGTATTGTCCATAATGCCATCAGACTCTGAAAGCAGCAGTTCTCTTAGCAGTACTGGTAAGACATGTCCTGGGTTTTTGGTGTTTTAGTTGTGTTGAGTTGCATTAATTCAAGAATAACATGCCTATTTTATTCATCCTACATGCAAATATAAGAGTCAAGAATTCTCTTTTGAAGCACTTATTTTTATGTAGCTAGGGATTGTAATATTGCATGGAAAGTGTGTGTGTTCTGTAATTGTGCTAGCCATCTGATATTCTAGGCAAGTCATATATTGGAAAGGATGACTATGAGACACCTGTTTTTAGTCAAGGTTGAATTTCCAAGCTGCTGGAACAAGATAGGATTTACAAATGGGAGTGTGGTTGGGGGTGAAAGAGCATAGGACTCATCTCACCCCTCTTTTTCTCTGCACTGGATTAGACATTGAAGCAGGTGAAGTGACTTAGATAAAGCTTTCTCTGGGCCTTGCTCTCCTCCATTGGGTCATGGTGGAAGTCGGCTTCATTGAGCCTTCCCTTCTTTTTTACAGTAACTGTTTCAAAAGGAAAATGGACTTGAAACAATATTAACCCTTTCCCATTTCTTCCATGTTCGTTTTGGAAGCAGTGCTGTGCATGTGGTTAAATCGGCCCCTTCCCTCTTGACCTTCCGAAAGAAGCTTAAACCCTGGCTGCGGGAGCAAGCGTTTACAGATTAGTCTGTTTTTACTGGCAATGATGAGATTTTACTGGACTGCAATTTTGGAGGGATTTGGATGACGTTTTAACTTGGCGATCTGTTTTTAATTTATATTTACATTGTTTTTTATGTATGGATTGTATTTTATAATGTGTTTTATTATTTTGGCATCCAATTGTTGCCTTTTGGTAGCCGCCCTGAGTCCCTTTTCGGAGGTTGAGAAAAGACAGGGTACAAATGTTCCAAATAAATAATAAATAAATGTGTATCGGTGTTCCATTGTTTTTGATGTGTCAGTTGGTTGGTGAGGGGGAGAGTAATACCAGTATTTCTCAGGATATTTTACCAGTGGTGTGTATGACATATGTCAGAGAGTTTGTTGGACAGGAAGATCTTGGAAAAGTGACCATTGTGGCCTGAAAGTTCTCAGGCATTGTGGTAGCTTCTCCTGGGTTGTTGCACCTTGTTGCAACAACCCAGGGTGGGTTAGAGTCTGAGATTAAGACTACTGTTTTGCAACAATAAGAAATATGTGAACATGTATTCAGAGAGCCTCAGGTCTAGTACTCCTCTTTTGACATAGAAAAGTGCCTTTTCTCAATTTCTGAATGTCAATGAACACTAGGTAACAAAATTTGATTTTTTTTTTCTGTTCCTGGTTATTTCCTGTTTTACTGTGTGGCACTTACTTTGGTTGTTATACTCCAGGACCTTCATTTTTGTGGCTGCCACAGACTATGTTGAATTGGTTGAGATTCGGTGCAATGTTCATTGAAAACCTGTAACAAAACATGCTGCAGGAAGTTTTTGTAGTTTAATAAGCACTTTCCATATTTTTTATGATAGAACCAATTAGAAAATGACATTTACAGCCCACAAACACTTTCTCAAATTACACTATGGGTCCTTTCAGATAGGCCCTATATCCCAGGATCTGATCCCAGGTTTTCAGTTTATCCCAGATTATTTGGCAGTGTATACTCATATAATCCACTTTAAAGCAGAAAACCTGGAATCAGATCTTGGGATATAAGGCCTATCTAAAAGGAACCGTAGTGTAATTTGCTTTGTTCCAGAAAACTATGGCTTACCTCAGTAATAAGAAGGCATGAATTTGGGAGCACAGCAGACAAACAAAAAACAATATACATTGTGCATTAAATCATGAGAATCATAAAACACGAACATATAAATAAGCTATTAAAAGATTACATGTAGACTAAAATCATAATCCAGAAGCCATACTAATCACATTGCCTACAGGATTCTGTAGGATGTTATCATGGCAATTGAAGTGGAATATAGTGTTCTATTTATTTAATATAGATGTGCCTGAGCTCTCTAGCAGATATATCTAAGGATGCCAGCAAACTTTAGGTTTCATAGGTTCTTTAGCTGTGTACTTAAGATACCTGGACCTTCACAACTTCATTACAATTACTGCATATCAGACTGAACTCACCTGCAGCTCAAGATTGGCTTTTCATTCCCAACAGCTTAGCTTATTTTCTTTAAAATGCTCAGCCTGCCTCAATAGTATTCTGCACTGTGCTGTTTCATGCAGCCTGTAATTTCTTTTCCTGTCTGACAGTGAAACATATGTTCACCATTCTAATCATCCCTAATTTACCAGGCACGGTACCAATTTTCCCTGTTTAATATTTGTCTCTGCTAAAATAGCACTTCTTGTTTCATGTTTGGGAGGAGATCTTGTGGATCTCTCCTTGTAATACCAGTGGGCTCTACTAGAGCAGAAGTTGTAAATGTCTCAGCCCCTTCTCCTGGATATATCTCGTATATATAGAGCATTGAGGTAAGAAATACACTTTATATGTAAACATACATACATGAACACCTAAACCAGTGGTTCTCGACCTGTGGGTCCCCAGGTGTTTTGGCCTACAACTCCCAGGAGCCCCAGCCAGTTTACCAGCTGGTAGGATTTCTAGGAGTTGAAGGCCAAAACATCTGAGGACCCACAGGTTGAGAACCACTGACCTAAACTAATAGAAGACTGACAGTTCACAAAACGCATCTATCCAGGTCCATCTTGGTATTTTTGGCCACATTTGGAAGTCACACCAAAATATAGCATAGTATAATCAAAACAAGCCTGGATGATGCTGCTAGCACCCTTTCCCTGGCCTCTGAAACACACCTTCAAGACATTCAGAAGTTTGACCTGATATCTATGCTGCCTATATCTACAAAATGTGGTTAGGGCCATGGGTTGTTTCAAACAAACCAGTTTGAAATTATGAGTTCTTGATCAAGGACTGTGCTTTCATGCTTCAACAAAAGAGCCAAACAAACAGTAAACCCAGAAGTGAAAAAATCCTGTCCTTCTTTCCAGCTCTGTAGTTCTTATGTTTTGAAAACGTTGATTCTTCAGCAACATTTTCAGGTTCAAGATGGCATACAGGCTGTAACTGATTAAAAGCATCTCTGTCTGTGCTGCCATCTGATTCTTGAAAGGCTAGGATGATTGATTTAATCCCCCTAAGCTGCACATCTGTCTCTACAGTTCCTGAGGTGCCATACTGGCAGAGCTTGAACAAGTTACTTTTGTTTTTACTAGAACGTTCAGAACCCCTCCTTAGCCAGCTGGCCCACTGGCCATGCTGACTGTAGGGTTTTATTTCATTCAAACCTCTTAGTTTCAATTATCTCACCATTTCATCATGCCTTGAGCCTCCCCAGCAGCATCAAATCTGTCTTTCTCAGTTGAAGCTTCATTCTCTTCTTTCCTGCCTACTCATTTACTGCAGTGATATTTACTCTCCCATTCCCAAAGTTCATGTCTTAGAATTGGGTTTTGAGTGTGCGGTATGTTGTGTCGAAAGCTATGTTCGCACGACCTGTCCCTATTAGCACAGTAAGCACACTTTGGTGGCTAAAACAGAAACTTGCTACCTGGAGGCAAGCCAGAAAGGTGACCCACATAATGATTGGTTCTCCGGGCTGAGTGTGGAAACAAAAAGTGAGTTGTGAAGTATTTATTTAAGCCGACAAATAAGCCGCACTTGGCGGCAGTTGTAATAAATACGTTATGACAAATCCAGTTTGTCTGAAAAGAAGTGTGTTACCAAAAAAAAAAAAAAAAAAGTGGGGGTATAATTTAGAAAACAAAGCCATGGTCTCCATGCCTGAGCATGTTGGAAGGAACTTGATTGGTCAGAGTAAAGAATGGAAATGTTGCAGCATGAAGCAGTCAGGTGGAAAAAAGAAGATGGAGCTCGAAGCCCAGGTCACTTCCTTTACACTGAAGTGAGCTGTCAAATGAAATAAAAAGCCCTTTAGCATTCAGCTAGAAATATCCTTTGTAGGGGAAGGGATGAGCATTTCGAATAAGCTTGAGGGCTATTTGAAGCATATGCCAAGTCACACTTGATAATGCTAGGAAACCTTTTGTGGAGCTGGGAAAATAAAGGTGCCTTATTAAATTGAGCAAAGAGAAGCTGGAGGGCTGACTTTGAGGGGTGGATTTTATGAACAGGAGAGTTGTCGAACTCATTTCAGAATCTCCTGCTTGCTATAAAAAGAAAGCCAGAAATTGAATCCTGTTGGCTCCAGAGGGTTTATCCCCTGCCTTAAATGGTTACAGTCACTATGTTGACTTTGTACTGATTCTCAGTATTTGAGTTTTCTGCATTTCCTATCTATACAATTGAAAATCTATGAAAAGTCATTTTGAAGGGGAGAGAATCCAACAGTTAGGTGGCTGAATATCTGTTGCATGCCTTTTTAAAAACATGTATGCATAAAAATTAAAAATAGTGAATGTAATAAATTAGTCTCCTTGTGAAGTGGGATATTAATAAACATAAACATCATCATCATCATCATCATCATCATCATCATCATCATCATATTGTAATAATTTTCAGAAGACCAAGACAGACTGTGACCTTCTATCAGATATATACTCTATGGCAGTGGTTCTCAACCTGGGGTCCCCAGATGTTGTTGGCCTACAACTCCCAGAAATCCCAGCCAGTTAACCAGCTGATAGGATTTCTGGGTGTTGAAGGCCAAAAACATCTGGGGACCCCAGGTTGAGAACCACTGCTCTATGGCAAATCAGGGTTGCTGCTTTTTAATGTGGCCTAGATTTAAACACATCTTTAAAATAAATACCCAGAGTTTCCAATAATTACAGATGTTGGACTATAACTACCAAAATCTGCTAGGAAGCATGACCTTTGGCCATGTGAACCAGATGCACGGGAAGCAGTTGTTTGAAAATAGAGGCATTCCATGTTCTGAGAGTGATCATGAGCAAGAAATAATGGTCAAAGTAGGCTTTTGTGTTCTGTGCTTCAGTCACAATGGATTATTACTATTTTGTTCTTTCTTGATAGCACAGCTAAGCTATGATCCAAAGAATTTACTACTGATTTACTTACTGCACAGTTGCAAGTCATCCCCACAACATGGACTGGGGAATATTTAATAGATCAGTAGATAACACAAAATACCGGGGCTATATATTACACAGCCAAATGGACTGGAAATATCTTTCACTGTTCAAAAAATGTAGTCCCTAGCAAATTAAAGAAAACTACAAAGAAGATAAAAGAAGAGGCTTTGAAACAAAAGAAAACACATGGGACAAAGTGCTTAAAATAGAAAAGAAAACGATCAAAGTGCTATACCAACAGTTGTTAAGCTGGAGTACAGAGGAAGAGCAGATAAAAGAAGTAATGATAAATTGGGCCAGATTAATCGGAAGAACAATCACAATGCACGAGTGGGAAATAATGTGGAGAAGAAAACTAAAATATGCTTATGCCACGGAAATTAAAGAGAACTGGATAAAGATGTTTTATATGTGGTACCAAACCCCGGACAAAATTGCAAAGTATAGCAAAGGAAGGATCAAGGATAACTGCTGGAGGTGTCATGGAAAAAAAGGAACTTTCAAACACATGTGGTGGAAGTGTAAAAATGTGAAACAATTTTGGAAGGAACTGTACCAGGAAGCAAAGGAGATACTGCAAATAGACTTTGAATTTAGGCCAGAATGCTTCCTCTTAGGATGGAACGAAACAAACATGAGCAAAAATGACGAAAAGATTCTATTCTACCTCAACACAGCGGCAAGGATAAGCGTGGCCCGAGTTTGGAAAAACAAAGAAACCGCATCTATCAGTTCATGGCTATGCAAAGCCATGGACATTATGAACATGGATCAATTAACGCAACAACTAAAGAGGAACATATCAATACATGAAAGCACCGATTGGAGCAAATTTATTATGTACCTAGATAAAAAACATGGGAAAATAGAATAGAAGAAACAAGAAAGATATAATAATAAGTCAAGAATCAGACAAAGATAACAACCGACCGTATAAATATAGAAAACGATTTACAACCTAACTAGGAACATAAAGAAAAAACAAATGTCTACCCGAAACCCCCTGGAAGCAGGACAAGGACAACTGTTTTTATGTTTTTTGTTAGTCCGTATGTGTTATATATGTATAAGCAAGATGAGGTATAGAGAGGGGGGAGGTTGGGGGGAGGACACAACCAGGGGGGAGTACTATAGGGACAAGATTAGTAAATGTGTGCGAGATACATGACTGTTATATCTGTTTGTCTGTTTGTCTTTTATACTGGAAAATTCAATAAAAAAAAAAAATGTAGTCCCTAAAAAAAGCATCCTAAAGATGTGTACTAGGGAAGGTCTGCCTTAGTTTCCCCTATATATGAGTCATCTTATGAGAAGTAAGATGCATCAATCCATGCTTAGTTGGGATAGCTTTCACCTTGCCACCTCTGTTGAGGAATGCATTGCACTGAATTTTGAAAGATTTTTTTCCAGGCCTCTTAATTTCATTTTTGTTTATACTGTCAACAGGTACAACGGGTGTGAGACCATCATCGCCACCTCCTGCAGTCGTGGATGTAAGGCAGATGAATGAGAAACTGGAGACAATTTTGTTTCAGCTCCGCCAAGTCACTCGTGAACGGGATGAGTTGCGGAAGCGCCTGGCACTCTCCTCGCCTGGGTCCACCTTTGATGACTGCAGGTAATAAAGAAGCAATCCATTTCATAGTCAGATTTGCTTAAATCCAATTTTAATGTAACTGTATGTCTACAGTTACTTGTTTTTTTTAAATATACCAGCTCTTCTTCTCCTTTTTTTAAACAAATAGTAGAGCTGTATGAAAGATACATGGTGCATCACATTAGTATGTTTGTGACCATATGACCTACACAAAGCATTCAGATATTCAGTTTGGCCACTTTCTTGAGAGATCCAATTTCCTTTCCTCCACTTTTCTTTTAAAGCAAGCTTCTGTTCATACATCTTCAGAGTTTTCTGTGCAAGGACAAAGCAAAAAGTCTGTCAAAAGTTTTAGAAGACAGAGAGATGGCTGACCATTTTCCCAGTTGATAAGTCAGTGGTTTATACTTTATACTGCAGGGTTCCTTTTTTCTCCTGACAATGACCAAATATATTATACCAGCGGTTCTTAAAATGTGCTCCGTGGAATCTCCTCTCCTGAACTTTAGGAAGAACTTCCTGACTGTAAGAGCCGTTCAGCAATGTGTAGGCATACCTTGGCATGGAATTTGCCATTTTAACAGCAGCTGTGCCATGGGCTGACATTTTTAGTATCCTAAAACAACCTCTTGATATCATTTTTGCTCAGTTTTGCTCAGATACCATTAGTGTGTTTGTAAAGTGGGGATTATTTGCTGAATTATGCCTCATGTATGTCGAATCCCCCTATAATGGAGCAATGTTTTGGAGCTCTTTATAATCTGCTTAATTTTAACCAGCCTGAAAAATTCACTATTGTCAACACTGGACTACTCATTACTGCCCTAATTTTAGCAGGTCTTCTACAGGCTGTGATAACAGTGAAACCTAGAATTGGCACTCTCCCACCTCTTTTCTTGGTAGTTAAATGCAATTGACTTTGCAAACCCTTTCCAGCTAGCTGCAAGTTAAAAACCCATTACTCAGGACTTGGTGAAGCTTCTGGTAGAGCTCTTATGAAATTGATAAAATGGCATAATGTCATCAGTTTATTGTCATGATAAATCTTTTGCCTGTCCTAGAAGGACGAATAGGATGGGAATTGTCTTTGTGAACCAGGTTGAAAGTAAATTTGACTTTCCCATTTTTAAACCTGGCCATTTTTTTTATTCTCAAGAATAAACTTGTGTCTCATATTTTTGTTAGAGTTAATGTATAGCTGTTGTGTGATTTAAACCAGAAATTTACTGATTCGTGGTATAGTTTCAGATCTATTGGGCTAGCATTGTTATTCAGTCCTATGTATCTCTAAAATTACATGTACAAGGTACCTACCCATTGGGATTTGCTTGCCATCATTAATAGATTTCTCTGTGTGATAGTAGTGCAAAATTTGGTGTTTAAACTTCATGCATAATTCATGCTGTCTGGCAGTAAAGAGATACATCTTTGTAGCTTATGCTGTCTAGTTTGAATGGAGACGAAAGGTTTCTATTAATGTCTAAATGTTATTATGTTTTTATGATTTAATTGATAGTCATTTGTTATTGTTGTTTGATATTAGGTTTTTCATATGTATGTTAGGCATTGAATTTTGCTATGAATATGTTGGAAACTACTTTGAGTCACCTCCTTGGGTGAGAAAAGCGGTATTTAAACAAAGTAAATAATAAATAAATATTGAGTTGATTTTATGAGGAGTTCAGTCTTGCTTGTATTGCTTCAGTTGGTGCCTTAGTAATGTTTCGAAATGTACAAAACCTCTCCTTACTGTTTCACTATCTTTGGAAAGATTTTAAAAAACCTATGTGACGCTATTTAGTCAGGCATATTTTTTTTCCAAATGATACTAAAAATACAGAATATCTCATGTTATTTTAAGGTCATATACTTCTCTAATAACTAGGATCTCTTTCTCCTAGGCCTACTCCCAAACCAAACCATGATTACGAACGACTGAAGATACAGTGTATGAAGGCAATGTCAGACCTACAGTCTTTGCAAAACCAGCACACAAAGACACTAAAAAGATGTGAAGAAGCTGCTAAGGAGGCTGATTTCTATCAGTAAGTAAAAACTCCCAGCATAAACCCAGCTATGAATATTGGTCTTCTCTCTACCCTGATTATGTGCCAGATAGGTTACTTCATATCTTAATATCCAGAGATCTTTAATATTAAACTTCTTGCCCTCCACATCAGTACGCTGTTTAAATGCCATGCTTACAGCATCATTCAAGAGCTTTCAGCAATAGATTATGGATTAGGTTTTTTTATCTCTGCAGATACAGAACCAGCTTCGAAATTTGTGATGGAGTGCAAGTTTAGTCTTGTGTGGAATTAAATGTAGTTAGCAACTGTTGGTTGACCTATGAAATTTGTCAGCAAGAGATTTGGAATGGAATATGGACTTTGCTTTCCTTAAAAAATATTGTTACAACTTGGAATACAGTGAGTAGTAATTAATGGAAGAGCATAGACATTTTTGAAAAAAAAAACCCCTTTGCTGTACCTTGAAATCTTAATTTGATTTGGCATGAACTTTCAGGACTGCAATAACTTCATAAAATGTACAAGATAATTGTTTCAGTTGGTAGATTATTATGCACATGCCTGAATATGTGGAAGAGTGCATAACTAAAAAGCAAAAAGTATATACAGTGTTCATTATACAAATAAAGTTGTTATTATTATCTCAACAAGTTTTGATTAGCACTGTGAAGTCATCAAGAGTTCACAGCAAAGTCACCACCAATATCTGTGGTTTTAGTAAAGGTTTCCTATTTATTTATTTATTTACAATATTTATATTCCACCCTTCTCACCACAAAGGGGACTCAGAGTGAATCACAGAACACATACGGCAAACATTCAGTGCCATTATACACTGACAAGACAGATAACTGTATATAGATAGAGGTATAGATAGGCTTTCCCATCTTTGGCATCTTGGAGGTTGTGCTCGGTTCTGGCCATGAGGGGTGCTGTTGGGCCACTTTGTTCGTAAACTTCTTCTTTGATCAAATCACCGGCATTTTTCTGACATTTCCTTATGGGTGCCTTAAATACCTCCCTGTTTAAGTGGTACCTATTTATCTACTCACATTGTTGTTTTCAAAACTGCCAGGTAGGCAGAAGCTGGACTAAAGGCCAGGAGCGCACCCTGACCCGGGCTTTGAACTGTCAACCTTTCGGTTGGCAGGATTTACTGCAGCTAGTGGTTAGCCTTCTGTGGTAAAGCCCGGCCCCTATGACACTTCATATGTTAAACAGCCCACAAAAACATGAATCTCTATCTTGCAGATAGCTAAATGTTGATTAATGACAATTGCTAAGACAATGTTAATTGTAAATTTTGTGGTCTGACCCCACTAATTGCCATCTCTCACCTAAATAAACATACATATAATAATTTAAATACCATTATGCATGTCTATCTATCTATCTATCTATCTACGTAACTACCTACCTATCTACCTACCTACCTAAAGCCATAGTATGTCTATCTATTTGTTTCCACAAAAGCTGTTGCTTGGGCTTTTGTGATGTCACTAGATTGGCTGTTGCTAGGTGAATGTTACTGTGATGTCACTAGAAAAGACAGGGGATGTGTATGAGAAGGCAGAAAGGCAGGAAGGAGCCATAAAGAGAGGTATTTTGGCATGGAGACATGTTGATGCCCTCTCAAAGCTGGAGAAGGTGGTAGGGAAGGAAGGGAGGGAGGGAGGGAGGGAGGGAGGGAGGGAGGGAGGGAGGGGGGAAAGAAAGAAAAAGGAAGAGAAAAGTAAGAGGAAAGGGTATCAGGGGAGGGAAAGAGAAAGAAGGGATGAAAATCGGGCAGCATTCCCATTGACACTTGGCAGTGCTGGGCATGTACGCTAGTATATAGTGTTTTTATATATGCACTGCTTGGATCTAGTGTAGTACCAAATAAAATTTGTTAGTCTTTTAAACCATAAGATTTGTTAATTAGGACTCCCTTGAAAGCAATTAGCATGAAGAAACTATCTCAGCCCTTCCTTTGTTGGTCTCAGGATTTTATTTTTGAATAATTTGTTGGATTCAAAAACAGCTTATTAGGGCAAGTTACATGGATCACTTGTCAGCAGAATTAAATTTACATTTTTCTGTTGGTTCAGCATAAAGTACAAATTCAAGCCAATGCTGTATGGGATAGATTAAAAAATATATTACTATTTGTGGAACAAGTCACTGCATCAGAGGATGGCCACCTACATGTGACAAATATCTAGATTTATAATTTGCTGTTTCCCTGGAGCATAAAGCTGGGTCTCTCAAGCTGAGCACTGACATAGCCTCCTAAGCAACACAGTGATAATGCCCTGAATGTCTACCAGGATTCTAAAGCTTTTGATTTGTAAATGTAATAACATGTCTTCATTCTGATTTTATTTTCTGCTCAAACAAGTAAACTAACATGCAGTATAACACTGTACATTCTACATGTCTGTCCTTGACCTTTCAAAAAAGCAATAGGTATTACTGTTTCTTAAGGTTGCCAGTGTTTAAAACTGTTCCTTGTGTTTGAACAACGTCTTGACATAAAACATCGACTCTTTCCCCTGGAACAGGCTTAAAGACTGCATTTCTACTTTGTAAGGTTCTTCTTGTTATGTCTAGATAACAATCTTAAAGGCTTTGTTTTGGGTCTTCCATGATAACAGCCTAGAAGGCAAGAGGGGAATGTCAGATCATATGCTAAAAAACATAGTGCTTTGCCATGTTAACCATCCCAAGTGTGTAGCATGCAGACCCTCATTGCTGGGCTGGGATTTTGTCACGGTAATGAAAAAGATATTCAAACGCTCCTCCTAACAGAACATTGTGACTGATTGTCCCTGTGAACCATAGGGATAGTTTACAGAAGAGAGTTAATTCTGCACAGAAGGTCCTCACAGCAGTTAGCTTCCAGTCTTTCATGCTCTCATAATGCTCAACTGTGAAGGGAGGGATGGGACAAGGTCAGATCTGAAGGACTATGGCCACTACATCCTACTTCTTTCTTGCTTCTCTTCAGTTTTCCCCATTAGTTGGAATGGTGGACAGTTTTCAGACTTTAGAAAAGTTTTTTTGTTTTGTTTGTTTTTTGGACAGCAAATTCTCAAATCTCATTTCAGCTTCATACTATCATATTTACTTTATTCTATTGCTCACCTTTTGACTAAATAACCTTCCCAAAATTAGGGTACACATTACATTCATGTAATTTGGTAACTACTGTTTTGGTTTCAGGGTTTTGAAAATTGAGATGTGCATTAGATTTGATGGTGCATTAAATATGGGCATATTGAACGAACAAAACCTCCCCAGAGTGCATCTACGCTATAGATTTAATGCAGCTTGAAACCATTGGCTTAGTGCTATAGAATCCTGGAAGCTGTCGTTATACATCATCTTTTGCTTTCTCTTCCAAACGACAACTCCCAATATTCCATAAGATTGAGCCATGGCAGTTAAAGTGATGTCAGACTGGATTAATTCTACAGTGTAAAGGCACCCTGAATCTCAGAGATGATCTGTACTGTGCTTCTTCTATGATTTGACAGAGTTGTTTCATGAAACAATTGATTGTGCCTTTCTTGTGAACCTTTGTACTCTTCACCCCAGTACGTTACACAGTCGTCTGCTGAGTGACCAGTCACAATTGAAGGAGGACATGGACACTTTGAAGCGGAAGAACAGTCAGTTGGTACGAGAGCACAATCACCTCCAGCAGTCTTGGGAGGAAATGAAGAGGCTTCACAATGAGGACCAGAAAGAGATAACAGACTTGCGCAGTCAGCAACAGCAGGTAGCCTGTGCCTTTTTTTGCCTGCTGGGTTTATCTGCTCATTTCTTTTCTTGGCCCTCCCAGCCCCACTTCTGCAAGCAATTGTGTGCTGCAGGGATGTTTTTCTTCCTGGCATTTCTTTCATACACAGAAGTCCTTTTCTTTTTCTTTATAATTTCTGTAGATGACAAAAAATGGCTATAGTTCTGTCTAAATTAGTCACTTTCCAACCACACTACGCTTTTTAATTAATTGCTTAATTAATTTTTTAAAAATGGGATTGTACAAGTAGAGTATGACATATTCACAATTGTTCTCAAGAAAGCTTAGAAGATAACAAAGGGGATGTATACTATATGTGTGTGTGTATATATATAATATATTTATACTATATACACACACACACACACACACACACACAGTAGTGTCTTGCTTATCCAACCTTCGCTCATCTAACGATCTGTATTATCCAACTCAGTCTGCCTCCCGCCCGGATCCACAAATGTTTCAATACATTGTGATTTTTTGGTGCTAAATGCGTAAATACAGTAATTACTACATAACATTACCATGTTTTGAACTGCTTTTTCTGTCAATTTGTTGTAAAACATGATGTTTTGGTGTTTAATTTGTAAAATTATAACATAATTTGATGTTTAATAGGCTTTTTTAACTTAAAAAATTATATATATAAATACATATACACACACACAGAGTAGAGTTTTAATTATCCAACATAAAAGGCCAGCAGAATGCTGCATAAGCAAAAATGTTGGATAATAAGGAGGGATTAATGAAAAGCCTATTAAACATCACCTTGTTGGGTGTCTTTTTACTTTCGCCTTTGGAGTCAAACCAATAATTCCCTGAACTTGTAAAATAAACTTTCCTGAAATCCAAGGTCCATGTTTGCCTATATTTTGTTTTACCCTGTCCTTCAAGTACAAACTATAGTATCACATGGCCATTTCCCTCCTAAAGAACCGACTACTTTTATTCCAGTGACCAACTCCTTCCTATTTCTTAGGTTCAAGCCCAGGATTACTGATTCTCTTGTTCTTTCCTGTTCCTTTTGAAAGAAAAAATATGCCTGCAAGGCACATTCTAAATTTGCTTAACAGCTATGCTTAGCAGAGTTAGACTTCCAGCAGATATCAGGGTGATTGAAGGGAGGGAGAAGGGGGAGAGGGGAAGAAAGAAAAAGGAACAGAAAAAAGAAAGGAAGGAAAGAAAGAAGCAAGAAAAGGTATGTAGTGAGGGAAAGAAAGAAAGAAAGAAAGAAAGAAAGAAAGAAAGAGAGGGAGGGAGGGAGGGAGGGAGGGAGGGAGGGAGGGAGGGAGGGAGGGAGGGAGGGAGGGAGGGATAAAATAAAGGGCAGGTGTTTGAGGGAATACAAGGGAGGATGGAAAGTGAGAAAAAGAGGGGAAAGGTGTATGATGGAAATGGAAGGAGAAAAGAAAGAGTCATAAAGCGAGCCTGTCCAAAGAGAGTTTCCAGAGTATTACCAGAGAGACATGGTGAGTTCTAGAAGGGAGAAAGCAGGAGGGCAGTGGCCCTCTGACACTCAGGCCACACCGGATGTATGTGCTAGTTATTCACTAAAAGGCAGCTCATGTGCTTGTGCTGTACATGGCATAGATCTACGGGCTTCATGGAAACTGCAAAAAAGGTTCTGCTCCCTTATCCCAAGCAGAACTATTGAAGGTAGTACAAGGTGCCATTGGTCCCTGCAGCCTTTTAATTGTGTGTTCAGGGTGAAATGTTATGTATGGTAGTCAGTGTTTGTTTTTCATCAGGTCCAGACCGGATGAAAAACTGCTTTATGCTAATGTTTAGACTCTGAGTAAATCTACACTGTAGAATTAATGCCGTTTGACACACTGCAACTGCCATGTCTCAATGCTATGGAATTATGTGAGATGCAGTTTTTCAAGGTCTTTCGCTTAATCTGCAAAAGATCACAGGATTTCATAGTATTGAGCCATGGCAGTAAAATTGGCACCAAATTGCAATGGTTCTGGAATGTAGATGCACCCTATGTTATGATCTGTTTGAAAGAGGATTCATTAAAAAAGAATCAGTTACGACAGAAGAAATCCAAATAATGTGGATAAGGTGATTATTCCTGTGCTAGATAGCATTAAGTTCAGGTTTATAGTCTCAGTTTACCCGGATTTCCAACTATTCTTCTCGGAGGTTCAGGTAGTAGTTGTCTAGCAAAGGTTTTTATATAACAGCTGCTACAACAGCTGCGTCCCTCTCTCTCTGTGCTTTGGTAAGGAATATTGCAGTGCACTTTAGATGGAGCTGTCTTTGCAGTTTAAAAATTGCAGCTTGTGCAAAATTTGGTGCCCCACTTTCCAGAGGGCTGAGATGCAGGGAATATATTGCTCCTATTCAGCTAGTAAATAGAATATAAAAGTGAGGTTTTGCTTCCACCTGAGAGTGGGATTTTGGTCCTGAATGCCCAAATGAAAAGAGCAAATAAGCTTTTATTTTAATGGGTTTGGTGTCTTCTTTATCTTTCTCCTTTTCCACACTCAGAAAACTCAGAAGAGAGAATTTGCACTATATTTCCTCAGTAGGGTGAAACATTCTGTTTTGAAACAGGACCAAAGAGTGTGGTCACTTATCATCTAAATTAATCTCTTCAAAAGGATGCAGGAGGCAACAACAATCCCTGCCAGTCTTTGTAGGTACTGCTGGTGCTCAACATCTTTTAAGCTTGTTCAAAAAAAGCATGGCAGCCCTACTGCTTGGAAGGAGAGAATGTTTTGATCAGATTATTTCCACTGACAGAGATGGCTATTGATTTTCTGTGCAGCAGCTGAGTGACTTATAAGTCTCCCCTGCTCATTTTTAAGGCTTGTGGTTATCCTGGCAATACCCTTTGGCCTACCTCAGATTCTTCTTCTTCATGTCAGGCACTTGAATACGGGAACTCCTTATTATGTTTTCTCATCTGTTTCTCTACCATTAACCTCGTGCCTTGACTTTTTTCATTTATTTTCCTTTATAGGTCAGAACTATATGGAGGATGCTTTAACACAGGGGTCCTCAAATGGTCCCCCCCGACTATAGTTTGGAAAAAAAGAACAAATTCCTATACACACTGCATATACAGTATCTTATTTGTAGTGCAAAAAATATGAAAGAATAGTATAATATTTAAAATGAAGAACAATTTTAACCGATGTAAACTTACCAGTATTTCAATGGAAAGTGTGTGCCTGCTTTTGGCTGACGAGAGAGTCAAGTTAAGTAGGATTGTTGTTGTTGTGTGCCTACAAGACATTTCAGATTCAGGGCAACTCTAAGTCTAAAGTTTAGGGCAGCGGGGGAGGGTGAGAAAATGACCTTGAAGGGCCACATCAGACCCACATGCCTTAGTTTGGGGACCTCTGCTTTAACACTTCAAAGCAAAGTTTTTGTAGAATGTCAATAGAATGAGCACTGGTGTGCAGACATGCATTGTCATGTAACAACACAATGCCCTTGGACAGTAGTCTTCTGCGTTTTCTACAAACTTTAGGCTTCAGCTCTTCAGTAACAACTCACTATAACGATCTGTGTTGATTCAACCTCTTTCATTTTGTGCTTGCTCTCTTTTTTGTGTAAATTGTAAGGGGGCAGCCATTTTTTCTTTTACCACAGTAAGAAATAAACTGATTAACACTTTCAAACTTCATAGCTGTGACTGGGGAGACAGTGACCTCATAGAGAAAGCACTGATAATTTTTTAACTTACCCTCATATAATCTACCACATGTACAAATGGATGCTGGAAAACAAAAGGGAATAGATTGCAAATTGCTAATCACCCTATGGTTGTGTCACAACAGCAGATGTGCATGTTTTTACAGGCATGTCATTTCAAAAGCTTCATGTGTGCACATCCATGCAGAACCATGAGGATGTTCTCCTCTTCACTTGTGAAAAATAAGTATTAATATAAGTATGAATATACTTATGTGTATAGTTAATTATGGGGCAGAGGGCCACTCATTTAACAATTTCATGCATCACATTGTTAACTGTAGATATATGTATTTGCCTGTACACATAAGTATACTCATTTTCCCTGAAACATGTTTGAAACACTATATTTTTCATACTTGAAAAGGATTCTTATTCTCTGTGAATACTTCATAATAATTCTCTAGGTATAAATCCTTGCTGCAACTTCACCTTATTAACGCTGTCATTCAATCAGATCGTTTAAAATAATCAGTGGTTCCTTTATTGTCAATTTATGTTCATCTCTTTAAATTAATTTTGACCTTTTTGTGTTTGTGGAGCTGCAATGGACTGGTATGCCACCTTGTGGTAAACTGAGTTACAATTGTGTGGTGTGAAATAAGTACATGTCAGGATTTTTATTTTGTTTTGTTAAATATAGATTGCTATATTTCCCACATTCTTGGGATCGGTTCCCTGGGATTCTATTTTTTCTACCAACCTAATTTTTTTTAACAAACATAAAATGGATATTGAGACATGTATTTTCAAAATAAATGTGGGTTTGTTTTTTTTCATGAAGGTCCACTGGGGGAAAAAGCTTTATTGTCAGTGTGCTTTTCTTTGTAGAAATATCTACCATTTTGCTTTTTTATGGAAACACATATGGCATCTTCTGCCCACAGAACAACTTGCATTTTTACATCTTTCACTAGTTGGCTACAGGAGAAAAATGAATTTAGATATGAAAAGAAATCTTCTCTTTACAAAATCCCTCTTAAATGAACAGAACGTGGGACCTGATAAAGATCATGCCTTTTTGAGAACTCTTGAGTTTTCTGGGAGCTTCTCTGTGACATGATCCAAGCAACTGTTTCCTTCCATTCATGGTTTAATCTGGGGGTCACAATTTTGTGATTTATAATATATTATGAAGATCTTAGCAGGCAAATTGGCAAACTAAAGTGTAAGGATAAATAACATCTCATTGGTCTTTCCTGTGTTTGAATAAGATTGAGGGCTGTCTGCCTGGAATTTTTATTCAAAACATGCTTTGTTATTACAGGTTATGAAACAGAATGGCTCATCAGAGATACTAAATAAACTCTATGATACAGCGATGGACAAGCTAGAGGGCATGAAGAAGGATTATGAAACACTAAGGAAGCGGTACAATGAGAAGATAGCAAGCCACAATACTGATCTAAGCCGGTTGGAACACACGGAAGAGGAGAACAGACGTCTTCAGAAACAGATTGACATGTTGATGAAACAGCGGGACACAGCAATACATTTCCAGCAGCAATACTCCTCCTCTCTCAAAAGGTAGAAAATACTTTTAGGGCAGCTTATCCCACCACAGAGCAATTTTTGGTCTGGAATTAGCTATCAGAATCAATCCTCTCAATTTATTTTGTGTTGTTTTTGGGTGCTCCTAAAATAATTATCCTGTCACTTAAGACTTTTTCACATGACACAGTTATAGCACTATATTCCATTTTAATTGGCATAGCAACATTAGAAGGAATTCTGCAATCTGCTTGTTCAGGGAGGGTGTTTAGAATCACTTCCAGAGATATCCAGTGTGTGATTGAAACACATATCCAAGGATTCCACGTGGTGGAGCTATGCCAGAATTATAGTACAATAGTTGTGTGGAGTGGGAGGGTTCTTAAAGCCAAATGTGGCATGACAAAACCAGTCACATCTTGTTGTTTATACATTTGCCATATTCATGTACATATAAGAGTATATATGTGTGTATTTGTATGTGATATTGAAAGAGTATTTAATGAAATTTAATTTCTTATGCCATACATTAGTGTGTATTCCTATGTACTCTTCCCTTGTAGCCTAGCTCTAGTACTTTAGGTGAAGTTGATTGGAACAAAGGTATTTGAAGCAATGGAGTTTAAGAATGCAAACCAGGGAAGAATTAGGTTATTCTCCCTTGTCCATCTCTTTCGGCATTGAAATTGGACTTCCAACAAGCTCCCTTATGGTTGCCTTCAAAGGGCTGTTGAATCCATTTTAAACCCCACCTCCTGACTAAACAGAACAAACTGGAGCCATCTAAATGTTATTGTATCACAACTCCCATCTGTTCTAATCATGACATCTAACAATGAGGAATACAGGAGTTGTAATCCAGCATCTGGAGGGCCACATAAAATGACATGATGGGCGAGATTTGGCTTTCAGGCCTTAAAGTTGACACAAGTGAACAAAAGAAACATAATTGACTGTATTTCTTTTAATTTGATAATTTCAAACAGCTTCATGTGCGTCTTAGGTAAAAAGTGAGCAAGATTTTGTAGAATCTCATCTTTCTCCAATTTTCAAAGCAATTCTAATAACCTTATATTCTTTAGATTTGAATCAGTTCAGCAAGAACTCAACAAAGCCGATTCCCAAAACAAGGAACTGGAGAGAGAGATGGAGCGGTTGCAGACAGAAGTGACCCGGTTTAAAACTATGCAATTAAAAGCCGTAAAGGATGCAGAGAAGTACAAGGAAGAGAGGGACTCTGTGTTCAGTGAGTACCGCCTCATCATGAGCGAGAGAGATCAAGTTATCAAGGAAGTAGATAAGCTCCAAACAGAGCTGGACCTTGCAGAATCCAAACTGAAGAATACATCCTCAGAGAAAAGAGTGGCTAGCGAAGAAATGGAAGCGTTAAGACAGGTATGGTATGGTAAGGGAATTTCTGTACTCAGAAAGGTTAGATGATTTTGCTTGTTTCTCACTGTGCAATCTTATGGAGTCTGGAGTTCAATTCTGTGCAGCATCCATTCTGCCAACAAGCCACAACTATATTCTGGATGGAACAGAGTTTTCAAATGACTGCCCTTTCATCTGCTATCATGGGCTGGAGACAGCAGCAGAAAAGGCTTGGTGAATTATTTCATGATCTAGAGAATCTCAATCGGTTTTCTAAGTAGAACACATGAATTTATACAGTGTGACCATCTAGTTATCTGTCCATAAGAAATTCTTACTCATCCTGTGTGTGGTGATAGTGATGATGATGCTGGTGGTGGTGGTGATGATGACAATGGTGATGGTGGTGATATATCCTGTATCCTACTCAGGGTACAGCTATGTTAGATGAACACTTAATTCTGAGTGCTGTCATAAATCTGTGTAAGGACTATGCTGCCACTTCAGGCCACCAAAGAATAATCAATATTATGATACTTAATAATTATGTTTAATCACTTTTAGAGTTACGTTATTCCTTCTTTCTGTAAATGAGTAAGACTTTCAAATGTCAGTGTTTGCATGTCTAGAGAAATGTTTGCTTCAGCACTTGATGTTTCTATCCATGATCATTCCATTTTAGGAGCTGAATTCTGCCCTAGTGGAAAGAGATCGAGCAATCTGTGAAAGGAATGAACTATTGGAAAAATACTGCCATGAAGTGAAAGACAAGGCTGAGGCACAGAAGGAGTTGAATCAAGCATGCAAGGATATTGAGACAGTAAAGGAAGAGAGAGATGTGGCCAGGAAGGAAAGAACAGAAGCTATCATCCAGAGAGACCATTTGCTAAGAGAATACTACCAAGCGCGCCAGGTACTGCCATTCATGGAAAATGCAGCTGAAATAAGGGGGGAAGCCTTGTCTAAAAAAGATCCATTCTGTTCTACATTAGGGAATTGGGTTCTGTTTACTAAGGATTCTTCTTTTTAATGTCTCCAAAGGTGTATGTTTTACTTTTGGATCATTATCTTGTGTCTTGATTTCAGTAGGCCTACTTTCACTAAGTCAGGATCTAACCAAGTACCTACTAAATTTCTTCCTTGATTTGGAGATTTTACACTATCCAGTTTTATCTCTGGAGCCGATTAGTAATCTACTGTATTATTCTTTTGTTTTCTAATTTCTAGACATAATCTGAGATTTTGAGTGTAATATTTGCCATAATTTTCAATTTGTTATGTGTCTTTTCTTGCATGTTACTTAAGAACAGATGTATACCAAAAGATAAAAGCAGCCTACAAAAGTGCACCTTTATGAGTCCGTAGAATTACATCATATCTCTTTACACTGATTTTTTTTCAATGAGTACATGGTATGTAAGGAAAAAACACAAAGCTATGGCAATTTATATATAAGTCAGTTCTGAAAGTAATCTTAGAAATGGTCTAACATGGGAAGCAGGTAAAGTAAAATCATAACCCAATGATCTACACATATGTACACAAGCATGAACAGGTTGTGGCATCTCAGTTCCAGGAGTTCTTGGATAGAATGGATAATTTATACTTATATCCATTTGGCTTTGGGCCATGTTTTGGGACCTAGATGTCTCTTGTCACTCTGGTATATAGTCTGAAATGGTATGGAGTCTAGACATACACTGTGTTGACTCTGCTGTGTTTCCCAGTGGTGTTCAGTTCAATTGATAATGGTCTTCTGGACTGTTTGTTTTTTTATTTGCTGCCCCTCCCAGAGTGATGGGTCCTATTTTTTGTATTATAGACAGTGCCAGTATTTCTGCTACATGTATTCCAGAATGCTTGTTATTTTTTCAAATCTGTGTTAAAAGTTTTGTCCTTTAAAATGTAGTCAGTACCTTCAAATTTGATTATGGACATAATATTACTTTCTCAGATACAAGATTCTGCTACACTGGATATAGAAAGAGCTAACAAAGAAATTGAAATGCTCCGAAAGCAATATGAGGCAATGTCACAAGAGTTAAAAGAAGCTGTTCAGGAAGCTGAAGTAGCAAAATGCAGGAGAGACTGGGCCTTCCAGGAACGTGACAAGATTGTTGCAGAACGAGAGAGTATACGGTAAAAAAAAACTTAAGATGGGTGACAGAGAATCCTAGCTGGGTTTTTGGTGCTTTTGTCTACTATTTATAAATAATGTTGTAGCAAAACAGTAAAAAAGATGCAGACAAGTATAAGCCTTCCCATTATTTATAACAATGAAATACATAATGATAAATGAATTACATCCCATTGGAATTGAAAGAGTATGCAGTGTTGCAGCCTGAATTAATAAATAAATAACATGGGGTAGAAAAAAGGGTGTGATTTGTTTTGTTTTTGAAACTGAAAATAATGAGTCAAGCGAGATGTGATAGGGATGTCCTTGTTGATCTTTCATGACTGTTCCAGTCATATATAAGTTAAGGAGTGGATAATTTTGGTATTAGGAAGTGCATGTGAGTGGGAGAAGCTAGATGTCTTCTTTCACTTCTCTGAAACTTCTCTAGTTCAAAAATGAGACAGAAAGAGAACAAAGATCAGTTATCGTGCTACAATTCAGACTCTAATTCCTTTTTTCAGAAAGTTATGGTGTCTAAGTGTACTTCAATTGCCAAAGCTTTTTATAAGATGCAATATATAAGGAGACGTTAGTACATCTTCTGTCACCTGAGTATGTAATATTAACTGAGGGGGAGAGGAATTGTATGTTATACATGGATGAAAGGTGGGAATCAGCAATATATAACAGGTTACTTACTGGTTGCCATATCTTTAACATTTCTTTTTTTTTTCATTTTGAAGGACTCTGTGTGATAACCTAAGGCGGGAGAGAGACCGAGCAGTGAGTACCCTGGCAGAGGCTCTTCGCAATCTGGATGATATGAGAAAACAGAAGAATGACGCTGTGCGTGAACTGAAAGAACTGAAGTGCGTTACAGAAAAATCTTCAATGTCTAACTTTGTGCTTTGACCTGATAGGTTTTCTATTTCTTACTTGTACCTTAGGATGGTTGCATTTCAGCACAGGAATATGTGATACTTTTCATGATGTGCTATTAAAATTGCAGTTATGCAGCAAATCTTCAAATGAGTTCAGTATAAAGTTATGTAGTTAGACCTATAGCTCAGTCAGCTGTGGGATGCAATGAATCCACTCAACTAGGAAAAGGGTTAGTTGTACTAGATCTAAGACAAGATAGGTAGAGCTATTCCTTTGAGGCAACTTGACTATGTTCTCTAGTCAGTGTTCAAATGGCTTGCTGAATCTGCAGGGACAAAGTAATCCACACAACCACTATGATATAATGTTTTTCTCTCTCTCACACACACACACAATACAAACTATGATACAAAAGGAATTTTTTGGCTACTTTTTCAACTAGGATGTTTTAGCAAAAACATTGGGGGATGTGATCACATCTTATTTTAACTATGAAGAGTTGAGTGCTCTTTAAAAGTTACTTTTATGTATGTATGTATTTATTTATTTACATTATTTCTATCCCGCCCATATCAGCCCGAAGGCGACTTAGGGCGGTATGTAGAGCAGTATGTCCCATTGTACCCAAAGGGACGTACTTCTAAGTAGACAAGCATAAGACAGCACTGTGTGATTGAAAAAGTAATAGAGATTAATCACTGCACAGCAGTGTAGAAAGCAGAACAGATGATGACTGACATTTAATAGTGCTAAAAGATACATCAGGGGAATTTGCATTTTTGAAAATGTCTGCATTTCTTTGTGCACCCAAAGACTCTACCACTCTACCACAAATCTCCAGTATGGAAATTAAAGAATGTAAACAGGCTCCATTATATCAGTGATGCAAAAAAAGTTACAATTTTTAAAAGTTACAAATTAAATACACATATTTTAAAGAGCCACTTGTTGTCTTGCTTGAAATACTCAGGTGTGTCTCCCCCTCCAAATCCCTCACAGAGAGAAGATGGAGAATCAGTTGGAGAAGGAAGCAAGGTTTCGGCAGTTGATGGCCCACAGTTCTCATGATTCAGCCATTGATACAGATTCTCTGGAGTGGGAAACGGAAGTGGTTGAATTTGAGAAAGATCGGGTAAGTCCTACCTTCCTAGTCTTGCACATTTTGTCAGCTCTCTCTCTTGAAGTGTCCTGCACCAACAGGCAGAAAGAAGGAGAAGGATTTTTTAAAACCAGCAATATTTCATTTTGCTTGCATTACTTGCTTGTATAGAACCATATAAGATAACATGTAGCATTTCATATCCATTAGGAAGATATGGATTTGAAAGCCCTTGGTTTTGATGTAGCCGAAGGGGTGAACGAGCCATATCTTCCTGGGGACTGCGGAATATTTGTGACCAAAGTGGACAAAGGAAGTATTGCAGATGGTCGATTAAGGTAAGATATACTCAATTAAAGTAAGACCAGCCCGATTTCAGACTGTAAATTTTTAGATCCATGAAAGATGGCAGATCGTGTAGAAATGGAGGGCAGGGAAGGGAGGTTACAGAGTATGTGATCAGTGTAGGTTTCTGGCAGACATTAAAATCAAGATGTGGAAACAGGGACTAAGGCACATGTAGCTTATGTGCACCACCAGGCTTTTATTGGCAGGGGTGCTTGCTCGGATCCTGTATTAACTATTGTTATGTGCTTAAAATACAATTAGGATCCAAACTGGAGTACCTTCCCATAAACATGTAGTCACTCTGTCAAGCCCCAATAATATACTAAATCATATTAATAGCTGTTGACAAAATATCAGGAGTTCTCAAAGCCTGCTGCATCCAAATACTGACTCAAAAGAATAATCACAGTATAATAACCATGTAAGGCACTGCAATCCTGAAGCAAATTTGTTACAGTACCTCTGAGAGGCAATGAGAATAGAAGACTGAGTTGTTTTCTGAAGCTAGTAAATGAATTCAGATTGGTGATATCATAATAGTATTAGGAGTAGCTGTATTTCACTTACGATCATTGTTTATATGCACATGTAGATCAATTTAAAATTGACTCCCTTGCCTTTTATCCTAATCAGAGTGAATGATTGGCTTCTGAAGATAAATGATGTGGACCTGACCAACAAGGACAAGAAGCAAGTAATAAAGGCAGTACTTAATGGTGGAGGAGTTATTAATATGGTTGTTCGCAGAAGGAAATCTTTAGGAGGGAAGGTGATAACACCGCTACACATAAATCTTTCTGGCCATAAAGGTAATTCCATTGTAACTTTTACATTTAGCATTAACACATTAGTGTATATTTCCATTTTTTTTATTTCAACAAAAGGCACAGTGAATTTTTCTCTATTAATAAAACGTTAATTTTCAAGGTATAGACAAATAGCTTGAGACCACAGAATGCAAAGATTGCTGCAAATCAAAATTAATTTGTCCAGCATTTTCATTGAGCTGCCTACTAAGATTAAGACCCCCTTGGTCAATTACTAGTTCAGATCTTATCTATGTATGTGCAAAGTCCCACCATCTCATGCAAACCTAACACTTGCATATAATGAAACCCATTTCCTATTTTAAAGCCTATTCACCTAGTTTGGAGAGATCCTTTTGGAACTCTTGCCAATCTATTTTTATTTTAAATACTTTAAATAATTTAATCCGGTACTTCAGTAAAGTTCCAAAGAACTGTAAAAGGCTAGAAAGACAGGATCTATTCCTACCGAAACTGTATTGATGTTTATCCAGTATGTGTATAGACTACTGCAACACGCTTTATGTGAGGCTGCCTTTGAAAACTGTTTGGAAGCTTTTATTGGTCCAACGGACAGCAGCTAGATTACTCACCATAGCGGGGTACAGGGAGCATACAACCCCCCTTTTACACCCACTCCACTGCCTGCCAGTCTGCAATCAAGCACAATTTGAAGTGCTGTACACTAGCTACTTCCCAGTCTTCTGGTACTGAAGCTGTCTGAGTTGCTTATTAAAAGATTATGAATTTCATGTTTGGATTCTTTTGAAACTCTCAGAAACATACCATCTGGATCCAGTGATTTGTTTGTTATTTGACTTTAAAAATATAAAGATGTACTGACTTTTCCACCAGGCAGACATTTGTTAGACAGTGGGTTGTTGTAGGTTTTTCCGGGCTATATGGCCAGGTTCTGGAGGCATTTTCTCCTGACGTTTCGTCTGCATCTATGGCAAGCATCCTCAGAGGTAGTGAGGTCACTACCTCTGAGGGTGCTTGCCATAGATGCAGGCAAAACGTCAGGAGAAAATGCCTCCAGAACATGGCCATATAGCCCGGAAAAACCTACAACAACCCAGTGATTCCGGCCATGAAAGCCTTCTACAATACATTTGTTAGACAGCTATTAAACTCTTTTAGTCTTCATTATTTGTCTCAGTTCCACACTATTCCTGTTGTAACAGCTTTATACCTACTTCTTGTTAGCCAAGATGTTAGGCTCTTGAACTTCATACTTCCTCTCCCGCCTTGAGGTACACATTCTTGCCTATTATGTGTAGCTCCAGAGCATACAGACTTTTAAAAACTTTTCTTTTCAGCTTCCTTCTTAGTATTTGTTTTATTTTTAAAAGGCTTTCTTTTGAGTAGGGAACTTAGCTACAGTTCCTTGGCACTTTCCACCTATATCTTATTTCAGTCAGTTACATCTTACTTCAGTCAAATAATACACCTTGCCTACACTTAATATTATATTAAGGACCACCTCTGAACAGTTCTGGGATGAGCAGCTGTAGGACACAGGCATTTAGGATATCTAGAAATATCACCTCTTTTATGATCAGAAGTTATTTATCAACCATGTGAAATTTTATTTACAAATATTTTAATGGCTTTTTGATACATTGTAAAGGCCAAGTAGTGGGGATAACTACTTTCAGTTGCTAGTGATTAAAGTGAAAAGTGAGTGGCAGGCAAGCAGGTGGATATAGCATAGATAGAGAGACACTAAGAAGAGAAGCCATCAAGTCCCACACAGCTACAGAAAGACAGAATAAAGGGGAATACCTCTCTTCTAGAATTGTAGGTATGTGTCTCCTCAAGCTGCAAGCAGTGGTATAAGGAAATATCATCCTCCTTCAAGTGGATAGCATTACCATGAGGACAGAGACTACCCATTGTGACCTCAGGCTTATACTGCCTCCTTCAAGGAGCAGCACAAGCCTGGGGTCACAATGACTAGTCTATGTCCTTCAGGTTGGCAACCTTACCTTAAGGTCACAATGCCCTTCCTCTCTTCATTAAGGCACCATCTCCCTCACTGTATGTGGACTGATTCAAAAGCAAAAGAAGCTATGTAGTTTCTCCGTATTGTCCATACCCACCTTTAGTACTCCTTTAAATCAATTTTCACCTTTTGCTTCAACTGCCTCAATGGCTGGTTTTTCTCCTGATAAAGAGGTATTTATTGTTGGTTTCATGCATCTATGTTCTTCAGGATCATGTTTTGCATCCCCTTTTGTCTGCTTATGTTCCCTTTTTCCTTCCTCACATTTCGAAAAGTCTTCCAGTTCTTGCAGGAAGACTTTAAAAAGCTGTTGGTGACCTCTTAGATTTGTACTGACTTTTACTGGCTCGTGTCACGCATTCTATATGAAATTATATTATTGTGACAACACATATATTACTGTGGTTTGGTATAGAGCAATCATTTTCAAACTATTTTTACCCTCTTTACTTTCTTTTTCAATTGGTTTGCTCTGTTTTGAAATATTTCTTCTTTTGGAGACTAATATGATTATATGGGGCTTTCCCATTTCCCTATAAATTAAACCCTATGAACAATGTTTCACTCTCTGCAACACTTGTTTCATTAAGTACAATGCTTGTTACTTCAGACAAGTTCTTCTTCTGGAGTCTATTTTCATTTCAAATTAAGAAGCAATCACATTCGGTTTACTTCTGGGCTTTTTGTTTAGAGATGTTTATGTGATAAAGATGTACTGATTTTTCCACCAGGCAGACATTTGTTAGACAGCTATTAAACAGCAATAGTCCTCTCCAGGAAATGCATTACTCATAATGTGTAACAGAAGCAGAAAAAATATTTCTACTAGGAACCTACCCTCTGTCTTCCCATCTTTAGAGTCTTTGGAACTGGAGAGAGTTGGTTATGCAATGGCATTACCTAAGAACTGAGCAGCCCCAAGGAATCAGAAAAAGGTTAGTTGCATCCTGCAACTAACCATAAGCTGGGGCAAATCACAAGTGATGGGTAATATCTCTCTTCCATTTTCAGTCTTCTGGCAACTGCTATTAAGATACACATTGCCCTTGAAGTATGAAGTTTTCACTTAACCATCATGACCCCTGAGAGAGCCAGCCACTATAAATTTGATTAACATTTAATAAAAAAAAAACCATCCAAAACCAATTTACCTAAGAAAGTCTATTTCTAAAACATTAGGCAAGTAGATGTACTGATCCCTCCCAGGAAACAAACTACTTTTAAGTTTTAAACATTTGAGTGCAAGTTGCAGACCCTTTATGCTAGAAATATTTGGAGGGAGATTGAAAAGTCATGAGAAAATGAACCTCTCTAACATTGAAGCTTGGCTCTAGTGAATCAATCATTAACGTGATATGAGAGAACTGGGATGCATGCAAAAAATCAATAAGGGCGAATCTTTCTTTCTGACTTCTCTATTTCAGATAGTGGAATTGGCCTGGAAAATGGAGTATTGGTTGCTACCATAGTGCCTGGTAGCCCAGCTGCCAAAGAGGGATCCCTCACAGTAGGAGATAGGATAATTGCCGTAAGTGATATTTAGGTCTTTCTTTGCTTATAAAGAAGAGGCCATTCCTATTTTAACACCACAAAAATATTGCTAAGCATCCTTAACCCAATTTTACAGTGTTTGTAACAGGCATAGTATATACTTTGCAATGCTTGGAAAAGTTATTCTTTTGGAGTCTATGTCCCCAAATCCCTTTTATAGCGGAGACAAGCCAGAGAATTCTGAGAACCCAAACAGGAGCCTTTCCAAGCTGTGATACTGGGTAATAATAATCATCAACATAATCATCATCTTTATTTATAACCCTCCATCATCTCCCCAAAGGGGACTTGGGGCGGCTAACATGATATACCTTAAGTTAACAATATTTATATATATTTGTCAATTGTGGTATCCATTTGTCAAGATTTGGTTTGTTACACTGCTTCCCCTTCCAGAACTTAAACCACTGCAAAAATAATCATAATAAAAACTAACCCTAAAAACCATGTTCCCATAGCTTTCTGTGGACCAGGTGAACTATGGTTGATAAAGAAACTCATATAACTCTCTATATCAATATGACAAGCAGTGGGTAAATCCACCTGGCAGGTTGGGTTGTATACATCCTTTAAGGCAAAATCCCAAAGATTGTTGTTAAAGTGTAATGGATGTCATGATTTTTGTAAAACACTTTAGTGTTTTTTCTTCATTGAATGTAAACTAGACAAGCTTTTATCCTTACTTGCTTTGCATTGTTGCTTTTGTTGCAGATAAATGGCATTGCACTTGATAATAAATCACTGACTGAATGTGAAGCTTTGCTGCGAAACTGCAGGGAGTCTCTTACTCTTTCATTGATGAAGGTAGGTATTGGATAAAAAAAATACATTTCTAACTCAAGCATTATTGGATTTTGTTATTTGCTGATCACTATATTTGCCACTGCTCTACTTTAGTTTTAACCAGGACTTCAGTAAACATCAGTTATGCTGTGTTGGGATTGCTGGGCCTGGCCACACACCATTTCCCTTTCTCACATGGGAGGGAGAGAGATTGGGAGGAGAGCACATGGGAGGGAGATGGGTCCAGAGAAAGGGAAGGTGTGTGTGTGTTCACTCACTTTTGTGGATGGGAAAGGGGATGGGATAGTGGTGGGAGGGGATGCAGGTTCACTGCTGTCATGACCAGCAGTGGTTAAAAAGATAGAACTTTTATCCCTCCTCCCTCCTCCCACCCCCTAACCCCATCCTCCCTTCTGCCTCTATGAGTGAGGAAATACAGCACAGCTGGGCCTTGCCACCACACCAGTTTGTGTATCTTAAATACAATTTTGGCTGGGGGTTGTTGCTAAAGATATTCATGGACAACCCCCGCCCCAGCACTTTTACAGGAGTCCTGTGCTCCTACTGTCTACAAAAGTAGAAGGCTGACTGTATATAAAATGAATAGAATGAATAGAAGATGCATTATCCACTTAAAATATTGGATTAACTGCATTCGCTGCTCTACATGCTACCTAAAAGCCAGCATTTTAGATGAGGGATCAGGTCCATAGTTCAGACTGAGAGCACCCCATTTGTCTGTGTTATCTCTGCTCTTACAATCTCCAAAAGCCACCCAGTTCTACTCCAGCCTTTATTCCTCCCTTTCTGCACTTGCTAACTCCATTCTCCTCACCTTCTCCTGAAAGATATGCTCTCAGGTAGTCCTGCAGTCCATATAGGAGACTGGGGTGGTCAAAGCGTGGCCTGTAGGGCCTCAGAGTAGGGTCTTTTTGCTCCAAGATGCCTCCGGGTGTGCTCAAGGGGGCATGGAGTCAGTTTCTACCAATTTTGGACACTCTCCCCCACCCTTTTACCTCAAAATGTTAAATAGGGTGGGCACATTTACACAACATTTTACAACTCCCTGGGGCGGTTTGAGCTTAGGAGAGACTTTTTTTGAAATGGTAAGTAAACAGGGAATTACTTCTGCTCACTTCCTTTATTTAAAAAATCTTATCTTGGCCTAAAATGTCCTAGAAAGTCCCCAAAACATGGTAAAAGTGCCCAAATACCCCTCTTGAGGGTCTTTGATGGCAATTTACTTTATTTTCAGGAACAGGTGCAATGGACAGTCAACTCTCTTCAAAGTATTTTGAAAGAATATTTTTCCATAGCTGCCCAATCTTAGTAAAGGGAACATAATCTATTCCCATTTCCTGCTACCATATCCTAATCTTAGAAGTAAAAACCTTGCTGGATAATTTTTCCACTAGTTTGTGGTAGGAAATGGTGGCAGTGTGACTTGAGCAATATATTTCAGTTGCCTTTCCATATCTATGACTAAATAGAATTATCCCAAATAATTGAAAAAGCAGAATAAATTATGTTTAGAAAAAAATGTTTTGATATAGTTATCATTGATTTGACTTACCATTTTACAGAATATTACTGTGTATTTATTTATTTATTTATTTATTTATTTATTTACTGCCCTTCTCAACCACGTAGAGAACTCAAGGCGGCTTACATATATAGGCAACAATTTGATGCCAAAACACATATAATAAAACATATACATTACAACAGTCAGTTAAAAACATATACAACCTTAAAACCACTTATTTTTAAACACATGTAATGTACATATCCTTTGCTGTATAGAACTAAATAGATAGCTCAGGAATTTGTTCAGGATATTATGACATTTTAAGTAATCTGGAGTTTCAATTCTCTGCTTTAAATATCTTCGCCTGGGTGTAAATCCTAATCATCTCTATATTTCTGAGTAAACATGCATAGATTGTGCTGTGCATGTAATTTAGTGTGAAGTAATGCTTAGTAGTTAAGGAGAAGCAGTACGATATATCTAGGCTCGTATAAGATTTAAATATAAGTGACCACTGTGATTATAATGATACTGAATGCATGTTGTTATTATGGTTGTTTCTCCACCCAGGTTTTTCCTCAGAGCTCAAGCTCATCATGGAGTGGTCAAAACATATTTGAAAATCTCAAGGATTCTGAGAAAATATCGAACTGTAGGGTTCATGGGACTGAAGTACAAGCCCAGAATAAAAGAAATCTAAAACTTAACAGCTCAACCCAAACTGACATTTTCAATCCTGACATAATGGATGTCAAGAAGGACCAGAGTGACCAAGAGGGCAGTGGTTTGTTTTGTGATCTCAAGCAGTTCTCCAGCAATGTTCTACACACAAGCTCTCACCGGAACACAGTCCACGGGTTCCATAGTAGCTCTGAGCACAGCCTTGGCTCCTTTAATCCAGATGTGTATGGAGAGCCCAGCTATGGTATTGTTAACATGGACAGCAGGAGGCTACCATTTGAATCCACAGTTGCAGATTGCATGATGGTGGAGAGCACTTTAGACAAAGGGCATGGAGGGAAACACAGTGGTGGCACCTGGCCTAAAGTGGTGGTCAACATTGCTGCAGTAGAAACAGAGAAGTTCTCTGTCTACAAAAAGCCGAAACAAAGAAAGTCTATCTTTGATCCTGACACTTTCAAAAGACCTCTTACCCCACCCAAAATGGATTTTCTGTGTCCCAGCCAGATATTGGGATATTCACCCCAGTCCTCCAAAACTGAAGCCATATCCACTCCACCTACACCTCCTAAGAGAAGTGATTCTATTAAGTTTAAACACAAACAGCAGGCAAGTGCTGCCTGTGAGTCTACAGTCATCACAGGCTCCCCACCTCCCAGCCCAGCAACGGTTCCACCTCCTGTTTCAATCGAACTCAAGCCAGATAGTGGCATTCACAAGACACAAGGAAGATCTGGACATTATTACAGGGAGGAAAGTGTGGATGCTGCACATTTGCCTTCAAGGAAATCCTGTGAAGACGACATTGGTTTTCAAAGAATAGAAGAGCCAGAGATTAAGAGACCAAGGCCCAAATCTGCTCCTGCGTTGAGACATAAGCTAACCCCTGTGGTCATTCCGAATCCATCTCATCAGGTAGATATGAGTTCTGGAACAGGGATTCAAATCAGCATTTCTTTTAAGACATGGTTTAAATATTTGCAGTAGCTTTTCTTTACCAAAAAATACCATAAAAGAGTTAACTGGAGATTAAATATGTTGTGCTAGTGCTAACATCCAGAAGAGGATGGCTGAAATAAAGTGGCGGCTGTTCTGTAGAAGGTTACCATTTTAACATAATGCTCACATCTGTTGTTGATATCTGATTACTTACTTACTTAGGCTATCCCTCGTTGTCGGAGTAGGATAGTCTTCCAGGAGCAGTGTACTGGCAGTGGGTCCATAGGTGACTGTGGAGCCCTATTCTTGATCTGCATCTTCTCCTGCAGTGAGGGCATTGGTTTCCAGGTGGAAGGCGGTCCTGGTCGGGGTTGTCTTGACACGCCAACCTGATTAGAAAGAGCAGAACCTGCATCTCTCAAGGCTTCGATTAGCTAGTCTTTTGATAAATTATGTTTGGGACCTCTGTAAATGACTAGCCCCCCAAATATGATTCTTTCTGACCTGAAAATTGAATCAAGATCTGAATTCAAACAAGTATGTAATAAATTCCTGAGTCCAGGGTGGCTTAAGTCTGTCATGTGTAATGTGGCAAATTGCTCTAGAAAGGCACAGGAGAATGGAATTTCTAAAGTACCGTATCATAAGTTGAATAGATTTAAGGTTGAGACTACATGTCCAGTCCCCAGTGATCTAGTTGTAAGCTCTGTTGAACCATGAGAGTTATTTCTGTGTGTATGTATTTTGGATTGTACTATAAATAATTGTTCTTGATTATTTAAATTATCTTTTTATTTACTATATTTTTATTTTCAATTTACATATTCATGAAAAATGAAACAAATCTACATGAACTAATACAATACTACCGAATATCTATACAATATTCGTATTTGGTTATACCCTCCTCTCCACCCACACCTCCCATTTTGGTGACTTCCCGTCTCTTGGGTTGGAGACATTCATATATAATTCTGGTCTTCTTTCCTATTACATTGTTTTTCTATTCTTCCTTCTGGCCTAATAGTTACTATTCATAAATTCCCCACACAGACTCTTAACAGATTAAATTATGGTGCTGTCCATAAAAACTTTTCCCTCTTTTTTTTATTACAGTTTAGAAATGGCTCCCAGTCCTTTATAAAGGTTTTTTTTTTTGTGTTTTTTTCTTTAAGACAACAGTCCACATTTTTCTGCATTTATCTAATCTATGTTGTGCCCAACATATTGTACCCATTTAATCAAACATTCCTTTTTCAGTTCTGTTTCCATTTCCATCTTCAGTAATGCTTTATATATTTTTCCAATAAGATGTTCTTCATTAGTACACAGTTCCTTTTCAAATTCTGATTGTTCTCTTTCATATCTAATATTTTTATTGTCTAGTATAAATCTTTCTTTCCGTCGCCTATATCTGTACCACTGTAAGTAAACTCCTGCATCCTTCAATTCTTCTTGAGTTTCAAATCTGTATTTATCATCTTCATGTATTATTAAATCTCTGTATGTAATCCATTGCTCTCCTTTCTAATTATCTTCCATTTGAATGGATAATGAAGTTTCTGGAAATAGTTTAATTTTGTACTTGTTCCAAATCCTCAATATGACTTGTTTTATAAAATGGTGATTACAGTCTGCAAATACTTTTGCTTTTTGATACCATATATATTCAATCCAAAATGTAAATCATGACCATCTAATTTTAACAGTCTCTCATTGCTTAAGATTATCTAATCCAAGGGTCCTCAAACTTTTTAAACAGAGGGCCAGGCCACAGTCCATCAAACTGTTGGAGGGCCAGATTATAATTTGAAAAAAACATGAATGAATTCCTGTGCACACTGCACATATCTTATTTGTAGTGCAAAAACTTAAAAACAATACAATAATTAATAATGAAGAACAATTTTAACAAATATAAACTTATTAGTATTTCAGTGGGAAGTGTGGTCCTGCTTTTGGCTAATGAGATAGAATTGTTGTTGTTGTTGTTGTTGTGTGCTTTTAAGTCGTTTCAGACTTAGGTTGACCCTGAGCGAGGGCCGGGTAAATGACCTTGGAGGGCCGTATCCGGCCCCCGGGCCTTAGTTTGAGGACCCCTGATGTAATCTGTCAACCAAACTAGTATGCATGCTTTGAAATACAGTTTTAGGTTTGGTAATGCCAATCATCCTGTAAAATCTTGGTTTTAATTCTAGGCCTCTTGCCTTGCCATATGTATTTGGTTAAATCTTCTTTCCATTGTTTAAAAGGTGCATCATTTATTATAATTAGAGTGTTCTGGAAAAGAAATAGTATTTTTGGCAATATATTCATTTTGATAGCTGATATTATTCCCAGTAGTGACTACTTTAATGTGCTCTGTCTTTATATATCTGGTTTTATTTCTTTCCATGCTGTAATGAAATAGCTAATTATAATGTATGTTTTAAGTGTGTTTATTGATGTTGTGATATGATAGGTGCAGGCCAACAGTTGCTGTGGTTGCCATAGCGATGGAGCCTGTTGTAGGAATGTAACCAAGTTAGATGACTTAGAAGTCAAAGTAGGCGGAGCTAACTGCTACTGGTGGAGAGAGAGAGTCAGTCTTTGGTGAGGTAGCCAAAGAGGAAAGTTGGTTCTGGTGTGTTGGGAAACCGAACCAAGGGATTTAATTCTTCAGCCTGTGTGTTTAGAGAGTCAGTTGGACCTGTTTGAGTTAGCAATTAGCTCATGAGCTAAGGGAAAAAGAAAACCCGGTAATATCTATAACTTCAGTGGGGATAGCTGAAGGGAGAATAAGGCAAGCCAGTGCCTCGGATTGTCAGTTAAGAAAAGGAAGATACTTTGCAGTGAAATAAGTTTAAAACCAGTCTGGTGGAAGTAAAAGCCATACTGAGAGTTATATAGAAAACTGTTACTAGTATTTATGTTAAATAAAGTCAATTGTAACAACATTTAAAAGAATATAGAATAACTATCAAACCTTATAGTCCTGTGAATCCTTGAATAAATATTTCCTTGATCAGTTCTTTATAATTAAGACTCATGTCCATTTATTGAGAAGAAGGTTTACCTCAGAAGGAGGCGGCTGAAGATATTGGAAGAAAGGATTCTGGTTTGAGTTACTCTTTTTAAAAAGAAATGCCTCAAATAAAAACATTATAAAAGTCAAGCCTTAGCAACATGCACCACCACTATCTGAGTCTCCTCATCGCCCTGGTTATATATATATATATATATATATATATATATAATTTGTTCATTGTCTTTAACACATACCTTTTCATAACTATCTTGAAATAGTGTCAGATTCTTATTTGAGAGTTATTTTTAAGTATTCAACTTTTTTCAATTTGTAATATTCCTTTTAGCCTTTTTTTCTCCTTTTTTGTTAGATGTTTTTCAAGAGCTTTTGTTTTTTGTTTGTTTATTTTAAAATCTGCTATTTTAAATTGTGTATGTTTTTATTGGGTTTTCTATTATAACCATTATGTCATCCTCAAATGCTTTCAGTTTTAATGTTTCATTCTTAATTTTCAGCCCTTTCATTTTTTTTTCTCCCCTCTTATCTTCCTTAATAAAACTTCAAATTCCAAAATGAACAATAACAGGACAGTGGGCATCCATGCCTTGTGCCCTTTTGCATTTTACATTCTTTAGACAGTTCTTCATTCACAAAAAAATTGAAGGTTTGTGTTTTGCAAATTCCTGTAATTCATTTTATTACATTAGTTCCAAATTCCATTTTTTCTAGAATTGCAAATGAGAACTCCCAATTTAAATTATCAAATGCTTTTTCTGCATCTATGAGTGTCTATGCTACTTTTATTTTGTTATGTTGTGATTATCAGATTATCTCTCAGATTATCCCAAATATGTCATTTAGAAAGAAAGCCTGCCTGATCTTGTATGAATTTATTTAGAATTTTAAAAAGTATTGCTGCTAAAATTGTTGTGAATATTTTATAATCATTATTTAATAAAGTTATTGGTCTATAGTTGCTTGGATCCGTCAATTCTTCTTTTAGCATAAGTGTAACTGTGGCTGTTTCCTATATATCCAGAATTTTATCTTCTTCTATCCTTTTATAACTCTAAATCTTAAGCTTGATTCTCTTTCTCCTGCTTCCATTAAAGTACACAAATCCATTAAGAAATCTTGTTTTTTTGTCTAGTTCTCCAAGATTTTCTTCCAACTTTGTTGTTCTTTTGTAAAGTTCTTGTACTTGATGCACTTTTTCATATCCATACGCATCTGTGTAATGGATTGTTTTATTTCCGTCAAATCCATCTTCAGTTCATTTTTTTATTTCCCTCTGCGCAGTTTGGCCTTTCATTGCTTCTTTCAACTCTGTCATTAGTTAATTTTAAATTTCTGCTCCTATTATAATCATTTGATCTTTTATTGCTTGAAATTCCTCCAAGTATTTCCAGTTTGGATCCCCGTTTTCTCTGGCATTTTCATTGGTGTTTTTTTTTATCTTTATCTTTTTGCTTTTCTTTTTCCAGAGTTATTGTTGTTGCCATGATAGTTTCATTTCCCAAAATCAAAGAAAAAGGGAGGAAAAATGTAAAAATTAGTAAGTGTAAAAAGATAACAATAAGGTGGTAAAATGGAAAAAGTAAACAAAAGAGGCAAGTGGATAAAAATAGAGAAATATATGAAAAATAATAAAAGATATTCAATTCATAAATATCAAAATAGTTTTAGAATATTAATAAAGTTAGAAGATGCAAAATAAAGGAAAGAAAAAAGGAAGAATCCACAAAATATAGTAGTGTTGATAAGATATGAAAAACTCATTTTTATCTAATTAAAAGCAGTAAAAAAATTCCAACTGTCCCACTTTTGTAGAGTGTGTGTGTGTGTGTGTGGGGGGGGGGGGTGTTCTTAGGCTAATTATTCTGGCCAGAAAAAAATGACCTTAAAAAATAAATCCAGGGAGGCTTGGGAGATCACAAAACAAGCTGGGGGCAACTCCTGTGGGATGTACCTTCTCCACCCATTTGCCAGGCAGTGATGTCAACTCTGTTACGAAGCCAGATTAATCATGAGAGGCCAGATTATATACCAGAATGTATTGTTTTGTGGAAGCACTGTATTCCCCCTCCTCTTAGAAGAGAGGTTCCAGCAAGCCCTTTTCGAATCAACAACCTATAATGTGTTTTGAATTAAGTTGAAGCTATACTAGAAAAACTGGAAAGTTAGATACCTTTGACTTTCTCCACAGGTACAAAAATACACTCCAGCAAGTGATGAGCATCTTTCTCCTGAGCTACAGGAATGGCCAGCATATTCCCCCAAACGGTCTAGTAGGCATAGTGATGGGTTCGTACCTGCCTCTTTATACCCTGGAAGCCTGTCTGCAGGTTGGTATGAGAAACTGCTTTTGTTGAGAAACGGTCCTAAATGAACCAGTCAATTGACAGTGTAAAACTGAAAAGTCCTATCATGAGAAAATAAACACCCAGTAATTATTTGGGGGAAATTAATCTCTTGAGACCAAAAAAGAAAGTTTTATTTACTTTTTTGCTCCTCTATTTGTTCCAGAGAGTAAAAACCCAGTACAAGGCTGATTAATGGGTAAATGACAACAGTAGAGTAGTATACATTAAAAATGAAGTTTCACAAAGAACAAAACAGTGAAGGCACTTTACATCTCTAAATAGAATATGATTGCTGGGGATATTATTACACATATGCAGAAATAATTACGTTTCCCCAAACAGTTTGTATTTTGATGTTTCTGAACAAAATCACTTTTTCATTAGTGCTCTAGGATTCCCTCCCTGGTATATTACCATGAAACAGTCCTGTCAGGCTTAGGTGTACAACCCTTGTTGACAGTAGTTAATTCATAACAATGTGTTCAGTGGGTTTACAGCATCTTCCCAAGCACTGTTGCTTTTCCGTTTTTATATTACAGAACCTCCGATACTGGTGCTTATTCTTATATCCAGGTATTGGAGTCTTGGTATGAGATGAGTCAGAAAAAGCTCAGGTTCTCAGTAATACACATTTTCTCTATATGAGAGGACTTTTGTGTGAGAGATTTGGGTTGACACGATTGAACTTCATTCAGACCTTTGAGGCAATTGTATGATATTTGCCATAAAACTGCATCTCTGTGACAATTTTGTTGCATATGAAGGTTGAAGTGGACAGACAGTGCATGCATATATGGAAGAGCTTGGTTTGCAATCCAAAATTCTGTTGTGCACATGGTTATTGTTGTATGAATGTGCATAAAGCGATATTAGCATACTTTCTATATGCATTGTTCCTCTCTCTCTATAGGTACGGTGCCAAGGAACATCACACCATGTCCTGCAGTAACTGCTGTTCTTAGGAATCCTGTTTATACTGCTTGGAGCCATAGGGTTAGCACCACCAATTGTCCTTCTGTTGCCAGCCAGTATTGCCATCAGCATCATCATCCCAGGTACATGTGGAAGAGGACTTGAGGGATCCTCTCGACTAGCATGGCCAACCAGATGGTTTTGGAGGCCTGCATATATCACGCAAGATATCATGTCTCAATGATTTCCCTACAGCAGCTGTGACTCAGAGGAATGAAACATGGCTTTTTTCTTTTTCGTTTGCATTCTTGTTTTGTTTTTTTTGTTTTTTGCTGATATTCTTTGGTCAGAAGCTATCTCATGCACTACTTTAATTCCTGTGTTCAACTTACGTCTGACTTATGTAATAGAGTTTTCCTTGCAAGATTTATTCACACAAGGTTTGCCGTTGTATTTCCGTGAAGCTAAGAGAGAGTGACTTGCCCAAGGTCACCCAGTGAGTTTCCATGATTGAGCAGGGATTCAAATTGGATCGTGGTTCAACACTGAAACTATTAGATCACATCTCTATGCATAACTTACTGTACACAAATGACATTATTTACATCAAAGCTAATGACAGACGATTTGTCTGTGTCTTGCAGTGCTCAGCACCAAGGTCGCCTGAGTCTGGACTTGAGCCACAAGCACTCCAGTGAGTGTTCTGAAAACACACGCACAAGATCATCACATGGCTCAAATTCACTACCATCTAGTGCAAGACTTGGTAAGTAGTTTTTCCAATTGGACAATCAAGACAACTTGTTTGCAGTCTTGGTTTCTACCATTAGAGGAAATAATTCTATTTCTCCCCTACTTGTAGGCCACATTCCAGTTCTTCTTTGTGTTTTGCTTTAAGGAATCAGAATTCAAAGACATGGACTGCCCCAGTTCAAAACGGTTAGGGAACTTAGCATAAAACTATCAAATTAAATCCTAGTCATTTTAAGGGTTTGTTGATGTGTGGTGGAGGCTCCTTCTTTGAAGGCTTTTAAACAGGCTGGATGGCCATCTGTCGGGGGTGCTTTGAATGTGATTTTCCTGCTTCTTGGCAGGGGGTTGGACTGAATGGCCCATGAGGTCTCATCGAATTCTATGATTCTATGATAGCTCATGCTGAGCTGCCATGAGATGCAGGACTAATTCTTTGGGCTTGTGCACTACTGTCCTGTTCAAAGATAGATAATAATAATAATAATAATAATAATAATAATAATAATAATAATAATATAAACTTTATTTATACCCCGCCACCACCTCCCTGATGGGGACTCGGAGCGGCTTACATGAGGCCAAGCCCAAACAACAAATTAAAACAGAGTACAACCGAAAATGCAAACCGAAAACGTGAACAATAAACAACAACATCATAATTACATAAAACATGTGAATACATAACAATATAAAATTACAATAAGCACAAACATGATGACAATTGGCGGGCTACATGTAATGATTAAAACAAAAACTAATTAAAAACTAATTAAAAACTCAGGCGAGATGAAAAGCAGGTTATTTGCGGAGGAGGGCTCATTATAGCGGGGGTTGTGGAATTAAGCTTTCCTACGGGGGGGGGGGGCATGTAAAGATCCTATGCAATCAGTTACATTGTCTGTGTCATTAATAGGCCTCTCTTATTCTTTCTTTTTTTGTAATGGATACAGTGCTTGAGCAGGATGCGTATGTCTAGTAATAAAAAAATCTTCTGAATTATGTGTATGTTTGTGTCCATGGGTTACATGGGCCGTTCATACTGTATGTACATAGTTTTCTAGTGTAGAATATGTGCATAGTGTTCCAGTGTAAAAACCAACTTTTAGTCATGTATTAGCATTAATAAAAGGACACATACAATTTGATTGATAGAGATGAAGAACAGCAGGAGAGGGTCATATGAACAACCTGCTGTGTGTCATGTATTGTCCGAGTGAGTTTATCTCTATGCCTAAAAATGGTAAAAATCAATCAATCTTTAGGCAGGCAGGCTTCCACTATTTTATTCCAACTGTAGTCTACATTTTAAGAAAAATCTATGTATATCTACTTCTGTTGTCTTTGCTGAATGAGTGATATGGTGTTAGTAAATAAAGATTTTCACCAGTAATAAAATAACTATTTCAAAAGTGAAAGGCATAGTATATATTTCTGCTTACCTCCCTGCAGCCTCTCCCCCTAAATATTTTTATCCCAGCAGAGCACACTTTCTGCATCAAAGCTTGGGTGAGGAGAAAACGGTCTTGAGAGAAAGACTGCAGGGAGGTGTGCTAGAAGGATGAGAAATGTACTCCTCCATCTGCCTTATTTTTTAAAAAAGATCTTACTCCCACTTTCTACCTGATTGAAGAAATCACATTACATGCCACATTACTACCATCAAGAACATTCCCGTCAAACGGAAATGCCCAAGCCTACAGTTAGAGTTCCTTTTTAAGTGCAGTGGCAAAATGTATTGCCATAGTCACTCAAACATTTAGTAAGATATAGGTTCTAAATAAACTAATTTATTAAGTTTGATTTTTCACCTTTTTGTACTTTAAAGTAGGTTCTTCCAGCAACTTGCAATATAGAACGGAGCGAATAAAAATACCTTTGACGCCGAGATATCCAAGGTCCATAATTGGCTCTGATAGGGGTAAAAATCTTTTTCTTATTGTTATGTTGAAGATTATTGCATATAATGAGAGTTTTGTATTCTAAGATTCTTCTGTCTACATTTAGATTAAGGAAATGCCCCTCCCTCTCCCTGGTTTCATGTCTTCCCCTTTTTTTCTTTTTACCTTGGGTAACATTAGCAGATGGGCAGGTCTGTATTTCAAAAGATACCTTTTACAACTGGGTTTGTGTGGCTACTCCTATTTCCTGGACTTTTCACTAAAGTGTACAATCTTGAAAGATGTAGGACAGATATAAAAATCTGCTTGTTACAGTACAACCCCAAGAATTACTTAATGTCTGTTTACCAGGGATGCATGTGCAAAATACCTGGAAATTGTCTTAGTTTTGTTCAGATGCCAACTCAACTTTGAATTTCGTCAATGGCAACCCTATTGTTCTTCATATCTGGTGACAGGACACAACATCAGTCATATATATTAATAGAAAACTCATTACACAAAATTAGTCTCCTTTGGGAGAGATAAAGCAGGATATAAATAAATATGATAATAACTATTATTATTATCCCTGTCAGGCCTCACAGATCTGAAACGGCAACATTTGTAGTCAAGAAAGAGGCATCAGACCATATAGTTTGCAAATGTCAAAGATTCATCTGGCTTGGGGAAAATGTAAAGTTTATAAAAGTACATATGGAATTATGACAGAAAATTGGAGGCAGGAAGGTGGAATACTGAACAGAAACATGCAATATTTTGTTGGAAATCTAATAATAATCTTAATTCTCTTATCCAGTGCATGTCCTTTTATAGCAAAAATTATTTGTACGTAGGGGAGAGGAGTTGGCAGCTTGAGGGAGCTCAAGACAAAATAAACCTTTAGATGGAAATCTAAGGGGAATCCTTTCTCTTTCCAGCAACCCAGTGAGAACTATGGAATGCTAACTGACTTGCTTCTCTGTTGCAGGTTCATTATCACACTCTGAATGTAGCAGCCCAGGCCTGATAACTCCTCCACAGTCACCACTAAACTTGGAGACCTCATCGTTTGCCAGTAGCCAGTCACAGAGTTCACTTTCTACAATGCCCAGGATCTCAGTGAGTCCAGTATCAATAGGACAACGTCGAAAAGACAAGTAAGTGGTGGTCATTCTCAATATGTTGCGTAGGGTTGTTGGTGTGCATCTTCAAGCCATTTCTACTTATGGCGTCCTAAGGTAAACATACAGTGAGATTTCTGGAGTTGAGAATGTCAGTTACTTAAAAATTTAGTTAACTAGTTACATTCCAAAATAATTTGTTGGAACCTTAATAAAGATCAGAGAAAATTGTGCTTGTAGCAGTTCCTTCCTTCCTATGGAGGAATCATAGAATCAAGAATAACCTTACTGTGGCAATTCTCTATTTTCTTATTTTTCAACTGGGGCTCACCTATAACTTCAATAGGTTACATATCAACCATTTTCACTACACATACATAAACTCACACATACATAAAGATATCCGTCTATCTGCTCCTCACTCCCCTTCCTTCTATCCCTTTTCATCTCTGTCTCTGTCTTTGTCTTCTTGTCTTGCTTACTGGAAATGAAAAGTAGTGCTAGTGGTGCAAAAGCATTGTCCCACAGTACAACTCACTTCAGGGTGGCTCCAATCTCAGCATGAGATTTGAATTCACCAGTTGAAGACATACCAGTGTTTTAAAAGATTCCAAAACCTCTGTTTCTCAAAAAACAAATTTTGGCAAGTGACAGATCACATGGGGCTCATGACAAATGTGATTGACACTAGTAATCTTGGGTGTTAACAGCTCATATATATTTGTTTTTTCATGAATGACTGTCCCATATCAAAATGGCTACAGATTCAACACGTGACTGCTAGAGCACAAAAGAGCAAGCAAGTTGATAGGAAAAAGAGAAAGAGAAGTCAGGCGAGGGCATATGTATGACATGTGTGTTTTGAGCATTACCCTTGCAAGCTGTGCAAGGGTAACCTTCCCGGTGTGCCTTCCCGGAATAATGATCCCATAGCACTTTGTCCCTCCAAAGCACTTTACATTTTTAGGTCTGCTCGTATGTCTTTCCACAAACGCCACTATCACCTTTTCGTCCATGTCTCAGCACTATTTCCAATTTTAATTTTACATTTGGCCTTCCCACAGTTTTAATTGTATGTTGTCTTATTGATAATGTTGTATGTTTATTGCCTATGTTTTTATTTTAATTGCTTGTATTGTTGTGATTATTGCTTGTATTGTTGTGTTTGGGCTCGGCCTCATGTAAGCCGCACCGAGTCCGTTGGGGAGATGGTAGCGGGGTACAAATAAAGTGTTATTATTATTATTATAAAAGGCTAGGAGCTTCACTCATTAAATAAAATAAGTGGAAGTGCAACCAGGCTAATCCTGCCTGTGATGGTGGTCAAAGAATGGGCACTAGTATTCCAAATGCAATCCTTTGCTACAAAATATATTTAATGGTTAGTGGGGGAAAGGGGTTGCATGCAGTTGAAACAGTGTGACATGGCATTATGTGTCTGTGAAGGAGGCAAACTTGGCAACTCGGAACTGCTCTAGCGTATTGACTTGAAGATGCGTTTGAGGACATTTTGATGTGGGCTGTGTGGTGGTGGTTGAGTGTGGAGGGATGGGTGTTTTTTGTTATGTGTGCTGGGGAAAGCATTTAATTTCGTTATGCAATACTACAGTGGCAACAATTTTTATGCTTATATTTTGTTTTGTTAATCTTATGGTTATGTTGTTTTTTACTTCGTATGTTTTGTGATGTTACCTGGGAACCACTCTGAGTCCCCTCGGGGAGCGGTATATAAATAAAGTATTATTATTATTATTATTATTATTATTATTATTATTATTATTGTGAAAATAAAGCTATTACATTCTATTCTATCCACCCAGATTGATCATGAGGTGACCATCTTGCTAATAGTAACAAACTATGCATCCTCCTATTCTTATTTTTCCCATGTTTATTCCTGGGACAACTGGTGCCCTGCTGCAGTGCTTGCCTTATTGCTCAGTCAATTAACCGATTTGATTCCTATCCTACCTGTCTCACAGAACTGGGGCTCAGGGCAGCTCAAGACTTAGGATCAGTTCTGATCTATAGTGTATGCTATATCTTTGGAAGGAACAGAGTAAAAGACAAATAGATTGATGTGAAGTTGTCCTGTTCTGTTCTGACAAAACCCTTCCCTACTTGCTGCAGTTGATAATAACCAGTTGTAAAAAGAGAAATCCATAAAGTGGATAGTGGATGTTGCTATCTGATAGAAGTTGGTAGCCAAGTTAAAGTTTTCATTGCAGCTGATGCCATAGAGTCATGGCCCCCTATATCACGTGAAGGTATAGTCATGGCTACCTATATCATGTGAAGGCAACTATAAGTTGCAAGCAAAATAATCTGGACAAACCAGGATTGGGTTGGATTTAAGAGAAAACATTTGACACTTTTTAAGAGGCATGGTATTCACTCTCGATGTAGCTGTGTAGACTGTTGTTACTATAACTCTTTCTAAGTCTGTTTTCTTTCCTTTTCTGCATCCCTCTGCATCTTTCAGATATTTGTTCCGTAATAGGTCTTTTCTGAGAATCCCTGTGGCTCCTAGGCCAAGGTTCTGTTCACTAAGGAGTTTGAGGTTGGCTTGATATAAAGGTTGTCCTTCTCGAGCAGTATTTGCACACCTTCCTTGTGCTATTTACATGTTTGGGTAATCCCCTCCCCCAAGGAAAAATTGCATGGTAATTGCAATGCTACCATGCAACCCACCATCCTTAATGGCTTGAATTGCCCTCTTTTTTTACAACTGCTTAGCTCTCATTGACTAATATGTTTCCCTGCATACAAATATTAATTACCAGTATTGCGCTTTTCCTTCTCCATCTCTTCACTCACATCCTTCTCATAATTCTGTATTTACGGCCATCGGCTATTAAGGCTCCTGAGATTTTAGCAATTGATATAAGGCTTCCTGTGGGAACATTTTTCTGAATGGCATATTATATACGTTCATTTCCCAATATATAATATGGATGAAGATGTGTTTATTTGAAAAGGGTTTTTTTAAACCATTGTTTAACTTACATTTCATGGTATTGGTTTTTTTTCCTATTTTTTTGTCATCCTTTCCAAATTTTTGTAAAGTATTATTCATCCAATATCCTCTTCATTTGGCCACTTTGTGTTTGCATGATGATTGGAATGCTGCTGCTCACAAGCATTTTAGTAATTGTTTAAGATGGGAATTATTCCACTTTTAAGAGTATAAGGGTGAGCAGTTGTCATGCATGTCCTTGTCCTCTGCATAATCTATTTTGTGCATTTTTTAAAAATAATTTCAGTTGATGTCCATATTTTCAATATGTGGCCCTATGCTCTTTTCTTTCCAAAGGCCATATATGGAAGAACCACGTCATGTGAAAGTACAGAAGGGCTCTGAACCACTTGGTATCTCGATTGTATGTGGTGAAAACGGTGGAATATTTGTATCAAAAGTGACGGGTGGCAGCATCGCTCATCAGGCTGGCCTGGAATATGGTGACCAGTTATTAGAGGTGGGATAGCTGATGAATTATTTGTCTGTTTCAACTAACCCACAAGCAGGTAGCATATTCATTTAGAAAGGTGCCAGTTAATTTAGGTTTTACTACGAATATATTACTAATGTTATTAGATCATTTCACTTGTTTTCATAGACATGTGACAATACTGTTAATGTGTCATTGCTTCTAAAACATTCCAAACTTTTCAAATGTGGGGAATGGACCGGGGGGGGGGGGGGTCTTTTGGGCTGAATTACAAAGACAAACCTCCATTTTAGTACTGAATGTATGTTAAAAATAATAAATATATATGTTGTGTTTCGCCCTGAATCCCCTTCAGAGTGAGAAGGGTGGAATATAAATGTTTTAAATAAATAAATAATAAATTAAAAATGAAGTTCCAAACAGCCATGGTTTCCTAATTAGTCTGCTTATAAGCATATTTAGAAACATGTATGTGTTACAATCTGATGTGAAAATCCTGAAAGCTGGAAAACTATGTGAATTTACAAATCTGAAATGTTTTGCTTTGCCTTGCCGAGATTATTTAAAACTATGAAAACGGTTGAGTATGTAAAGAGTGCCTTCACATTTTTTATGTGAATTGTGAAGGTTGCCTTTAAAAGCTTCTGACAAAACTTCAGTCAGGAGTAGTAAGTTATCCACATACACAGTAGTTAGGTCGAACTATTAGATTTTATGATAGCATTGATTTCCCCCCTCTAAACAATTAAATTAAATAATACAGAAGCAGCAGTGCCTCTCTTATCCATACTACCTTGAACTCAGCAAATAACCTATACAATACATCTATTCTAATTATGAAAAATCAAATTTCATCAGTATCAATATACATCTGTCTCCTCCACCCTCCTTTCACTTCTAGTTCAATGGAATAAACCTGCGGAATGCTACAGAGCAACAGGCACGGCTGATTATTGGGCAGCAGTGTGACACCATAACTATTCTGGCACAGTACAACCCACACATGTTCCAGCTGGGGAATCACTCACGATCAAGGTAAGTTGATCAGACCTTATCTAGGCTGGCTCTCTGTCATGTGAAGCATTGCTTTTTGTGGAAGCCATTGTTTAGAATCAAGCTGAACAATGCAACAACGGCAACAATCAGTGTTATTTGTTACCCCACCTCTTCTCACAGCTTGATGTCATGTGTAAAATTACAACTGTTAATTGATAGCTTTATATACCATTAGTTATAATGTGTACACTTTGGAAATAATAATAATAATAATAATAATAATCATCATCATCATCATCATCATCATCATCATGCTAGAAATAACCTCTCTCAGCTTCTCTGGCCCAAGTGATACCTATAATAATGATTGGGCCATTCAAGTATTAAAGCAAAATGTCCTTCAGTTTTGTAACCATGTTTGATTGAGCCACTGTAAAGTATTTGTTTTGTTTTGTGACTGAGGAAATAAAAGCAGCTGGAAAGGTGCTCCAATCATGATCAACTTTTGTCTACTTAGAACTTTTGTCTACTTAGAACCCTGCTTAATTTTGCTCTTGTTATTTCATTGTTGTTATTATTATTGTTATCTCTTTCAATTGAAGTTCTCGACTAGAACCTGTGAGCAGTCATTCCACTCCACAAGGCAGTGGTGCCGCCACTCCTGACAGTCATTCCATAATTGACACTGTGAGCGAACAGGATGAAGGGACCATGACGCCCCCATCCAAGCAAACCACTCCAACAACCAGTCCCTGTAACTCAATGCGGTATGCTGCATTCTTATTTCAGTTACTTCAAAAATATTCTCATGTTTGGTAGAATTTCTATACTATAATCTAGAGCGGCTTATTTTGTGTTGTCGAAGGTTTTCATGGCCAGAAACACTGGGTTGCTGTGAATTTTCTGGGCTTTATGGCCATGTTCCAAAGCAATCTCTCATGTCGTTTCACCCACATCTATGACAGGCATCCTCAGAGGTTGTGAGGTCTGTTGGAAACTAGACAAGTGAGGTTTATATATCTGTGGAATGTCCAGGGTGGAAGAAAGAACTCCCAACTCCAAATTTTCCTGAGCCTTGGCCATGTTTGCCAGGCCTGATGAGGGTTGCAATGCAAAACAGAGCATCTCACTGAAGGTGCCTGATCTAGAGTGGCTGAGATAAGGTGAAGCCTCTGGATATGAAAACTAGTAGGTTCACTTGCACACAGCCTTATTACAATGCCAAGTAATTAGTGAGTGAGAAGTGGGAATGAAAGTTTCTAAGCTGAACTAGAATCCAGATGAAGGAAAATGGTTAGAGATCATGTTGTGCAGAATTCAGACAGCTGAAATACTCTTCTGAAAAACCAAAAGCTAGGAACTAAGTGGAACCTAGGGATTTGGAAAAGTAGCAGCTAGTGAGAAATGTTTGATCAAACAGGTCTTGAGAGTCTTTGTCTCTTTGAAAGCAATTCTATGGATGCAACCAAGAGGCCCCCTGAACCTAGGACTGTTACCCTAAAGAAGTCTCAAGTGGAACTTGGAATTCAAATCTGCGGTGGAAATCTATATGGCATATTTGTGTCTGATGTTGAAGATGACAGCCCTGCCAAAGGCCCTGATGGATTGGTGCTAGGAGACGTGATACTTGAGGTAACTGTAGATGCAAAATGAAGGTGGCTGATCATTTCATGAGAATTGTACTGCTCAAAGGTCACATGCCATTCCTGCATTGTTACCCACTTCTACTCTGTGACATTGACAGGTGCATACTTCCCATTATCCAATTTCCAGAAGACACATAGCGGAATTGTGATATTATGCATTAAACATTTCTTTCACTTTTTTTAGTATGGTTCTGTTGACATGCGGAATAAAACAGCAGAGGAAGCATATCTTGAAATGCTTAAGCCGTGTGAAAATGTTAGAATAAAAGCTCAGTATAGAGTGGAAGAATTTAACAAGATCAAAGATTTACCTGGAGACGGATTCTATGTCAGGTACTTAAAACTGTCTTCAGTAAACCTGAAGATGTTCTTTTGCACTAATAAGGGCTGATTCCATAGACTTAAGTATCTCTTTAGTTTTAAAGGAGTAAATGGCTTGTACTTGTATGTATGAATGAGCTCCAACAAGTTTGTTGTGTGTGTTGTGTTTAAATTCACTGTAGGTAAAATGAAAGTTCTATCTATAATTATTTAATTTTGCCTTGGTTCATTTGCATATGCAAATTCAACTAATTGAATTACTGTAATGATTATTTTGTGCCCGGGCCATTGCAGTATCTACTGAGCTATGTAAACGCTTCTGGCAAGATAAGCAAAAGGTATTTTGACATAGAATTGCAATTCTAGGAATTGTATTTGCAAAAGAATAGCAATGTAATCGGAAACCTAACAGAAAAGAATAAAAGCGTACCAATTTGAGATAGTTAAATTGCCTGTTCCATGAAATACAGAATGAAAACCTATGTGTGAGAGAGTAATATCCATAGAAAGGTGGAAACTGGTGATATTAAAGAGATAATATGTTTAAATTATGGGAATTTATCATTTTGGCATGTATTTTGAAAGAATGTATCTTTTAAGGTGCATTCAGTGGCATAAATTGGGATTGTAAGAAATTATATGCATGTTATAATACATATGTGTGCTTATAGCGTCTTTATTTCATGTGTAACGTATTTAATTGTGTCATGTAAATAACATAAAAATTATTTTCATCTCTTGTTCTTTGCAGGGCACTTTATGACCGTCTGGCAGAAGTAGAGCAGGACTTGAGCTTTAAGAAAGATGACATTTTATATGTGGATGACACTCTCCCACAGGGGAACTTTGGTGGCTGGATGGCATGGCAGCTGGATGAGAATGCCCAAAAGTTGGAAAGAGGACAGATTCCCAGCAAATACATGTAATTCCATCTCTAAGATATAAATATCATTGCTAAAAGTGAGCAGTGAAGTCTGAATAAAAATCAAACCCTTTACTCTTCAAAGCTTTGTAGTTAATACTGGAGAGAGATTAAATTTCTCAGTAAAGTTACTTGAAAGAGGTGGCACATTTTCAATAACACTCAGTTAAAAAAGGAATGCCGTCATGTCATTTTAGTGCTGTTGATAGCTGTCTCCCTGCTAAAAATGGAAAGGATTTTCTTTTTTTGATTTGTACGTTTGTCAAAATTATTTCCCATGATCACGTCGGAACATTTTTAGACAGGGACAGCCTCCATATTTAATTTTGGACCTTGAGTTTGAACACAAGGCTGCACAGCATCCCTTCTAATTAATCTGATAAATTAATGCCCACTTTTCCATAAAGTTCAAGGAGATCAAGATCAAGGAGCAGAAGTGGTCACCACTCCTTAATTAAGATTCTTATATAATAATGATGAATTAACAGCTATATTACTAGCAAGTGGTAGGAAATTTTTCTCTGCATGTGCCCACTGTTTTATGCTTTTTGGCTTGGCTTGCTTTCTCTCTGTCTCATAGACCTTTTCACTTGATCGTTTTACAGTCACTGCTCCCTTATACTTTGCAGTAGTTCACAGCGGCCTTCTGAGCTCTGTTCCCCCTTACATTAGATATGTGGAGCCTAGGTTTCTAGCATTGCCATACTGTTTCAGAGACATGCATTACTTGACCTTCATCCACACATTTTTAAAATTTTCTTCATTTCTTCTCTTATTTCTTTAAAAATCTACTTCCATAATTCTTAAACCATTGGAGTGGTTTAAAACTAGGGAACATTTTGCACAGCATCTTGTTTGCCAAGGAACTCCTGCACCTCTGTTACAGAACATCAAAGTACTGCAAATGATTCTGGGGTGCAAGATGCATTGGAGATACTGGTTTAGCCCTCATTATCATCCTGAATAAGTGAACTAACAATATGCTCTGGAAGCTTCCTGAACGTGGTGAACTCCCGTGGAAGCAAGAAATCTTCAAGAGAACTCTTGAGTTTGAAAATCAAGAATCCTAAGTAATTATTGAATCTGAAAGCCAGTATGGCTTCACCATTTGGCATTCAGTAAAAACAGTGGGAAAATGTATTCGCCTGGAGTAATTGAGAACACTGTCTATCCTCTAGTTCACCTTGCATTGCACAGCCTACCTATGTCAGGATATACTTCACATCTATGCACTGTTTAAAAGCAACTATCAAAATAATTTTCTTGTAGGATGGAACAAGAATTCTACAGGAGGCACAGCATGTCTGAAACAAAAGATGATAACAGCTCCACAAAGACTTCATCAGCAGCAGCTCGAAGATCATTCTTTAGAAGAAGGCATAAACACAAACGCAGTGGATCTAAAGATGGAAAGGATCTGCTGGCCCTTGATACCATCAGCACTGACTCCATTCCCTTCTTAGATGGCAAGTGACTTTTTAAATGTAGTTGGCATGTCAGAAAATAATCAGAATTTATTTGTATTTTGGAAAATAAGGAAGCCCCAGTTTGTGGTTGTCCAAAGGATGTGGACAGGTAATGCAGTCTGCCATGTCCAATGTATGTTCCTGTATTTGGATTTTTATACATTCATTTATTTAAAAAGTAAATAAAATGCTCTCTAACAAATCTGGGATAGGGATTGGAATATGATCTAAGTATCATGATACTTGTTCCAATGTACAAATGGAACTCAAATCTTAATAGCAAAATTGTCTATATGACAAGTTGATTTTGTCATCTGCCAAATTGCTGACATCATAGTGCTGGTCATCAATCGTAATAAATATATATAATTGCTGACATCTTGAAACAGTTGCATACTAAATAAACGGAATGTTGGGGAGGGTCAATTTGCCACAATCAAACTTGGATGATAATTGGGTAACTCTATTCTTTTCTGAGTAGCTAAGAAACAGTGGTTTGGGATTACTGAATGTAGAATATAATTTCCTGGATTATTCTTAATAATCTGTTCCATGTCTTGCACATGTTAAACTCACGTTTTCTACTGACAGCAAATTAAGGTTCACAGATAATTTACCATATTTCATCACATAATAGTCACCACCACATAATAGTTATACCCCCATTTTTTGGGTGGCAAAACTGTTATTTATGTGTTCCTCACGTAACAGTGGCATCCTTGATTCATCACAATTAACTATTGGCAAAGGAGATGACCAGCTTCCACACTGTAAACAATCTACTAGCAGCTAAGCTTCCTTTCCACGTGCCTTGCTGCCCACTTGCCCACCCCCTTTCAGCAAGAGCACTTCATTCACCCACTCACTCATCGGCCTCTCCCTTTCAGACACGATGCTTCATTCAGCTGCATGAAGCCCCATGCCTGAAAGGTGAGTGGGTGCATGGGCAAGCGGGTGAGTGAATGAAGTGCCACTTCACACGTTCACCTGCATGCCAACCTCCTGAATGAAGTGCTGTGTCTGAAAGGTGATAGGTGAGTGAGTGAGTGAGTGAATAAATGAAGTGCTGGCCACACCTGAAAGAGGGTAGGTGGGTGGATGGGGGAAAAGAGATAGGGGGGATTGAGTGAGTGAAGTACCCTTACTGAAGGGGTGGGCAAGCAGGCGAAGCTGTTTAGAGCAGAAAGATATGTGAAAAGGGAAGCCTAGCTGTTAATCGACTGTTTATAGCATTGAGGTTATCTTCCTCCATACTGTGTGCTGGTCAATTTGTCTGATAGCAGCACATTGTCCTTCTCAGAAACTGGTTTTTGATCGTGAATAAGGGTAGATAAAAAGCTATTTTTTCCATTGCATAATACTCTTTTAGTGAAAAAAAAGGATAAAAAGTGTGATTATTATGCAAATAAGTTTGGTAAATCTAGTCCTTATTAACATTCAGGAACAAGTGATGGGACGCTAGGTGTCTAGAAAGAGACCAAATATAAAATGTAATAATATCTCCCTTTCTTTCCAGACACTGTAAGCCTTGCTTATCAACGAGTCCAGAAAGTAGATTGTACATCTCCCAGGCCTGTGCTCATTCTTGGGCCATTACTGGATGCTGTGAAGGACATGCTGGTCAAGGAATCTCCAGGAAAATTCTGCAGATGTCCTCTTGGTCAGTACTTTGGCAACCCTAAAGCAGTATAAAAGCAGTGGCTGCTTGTATCTTGTTGTTTCAGTTTTCTTCGCACAGGATGGTACTTTAATTCTTTGTGTAATCTAATGTCCAGGCCTTTGAACTGCAATCTGTGCCCACTGCAAAATGAGACTCTTTTCTTTGAAACTTAATTTCCTTCCTCAGTCCCTCTTTTATTTCTTCAGATTTGACACAATAAAACAATTGGGAAACTCTTTCCTCTAGATTTTACTTCAGACTTAAATATTTCTACTTTTAATTACTCAACATTGAAGATTAAACACCTGGCTCACTACCTGGAGCCACCTTTTCCTTCTGACTACCTGTCAGAGGCCTAAACATCCCTAGGACTAACCATCCTTTGGGCTAATCCAGCCACCAACTTGCTCTTTTTAAACTCATTTCAAAATTCTCCTCTTTCCAGCAGTGGCAGTGAGCTCCGCCCCTTTTCTTCTGCCTGGAGAGCTATGTCGCTATGACAACACCCCAGCTCAGGCTACCTATTAGCTGGCCTGCACTTGCTCCACAATATCACTAAACATATGTAAAACCCCATATCATAATACCAATAAACATATGCAAAACCTACATTCTAATTAGACATTTTGTTACAGCCTCTAATGCATTTAACTGCTTTGAACATCAGTGTGGTATGTGTCTTCATGCACAATTAGAAAAATGGGTTCAGAACCCTTTTAATAATACCGTTATACTAAATTAATGTTCTTTAGCTAAAAATGAGTAAACTCCTGTTTGTTTTTGTCCTTTTTAAACAGAGGTGATGAAAGCTTCTCAACAAGCCATTGAGCGGGGTGTGAAAGACTGTCTATTCATAGATTATAAACGTAGGAGTGGACATTTTGACGTGACAACTGTTGCCTCAATAAAGGAGATAACGGAGAAGGTGATGCTTCTTTTTTGTCTAGCCCTATCTTCATTGATTTTTCTACTGCAGAAAAAAGTCACACAGTGTCAACTCTTCAGCTGCAGCTATGCCAGCTTGTTCCTGCCATCTTTGTAGATGGGAGATCATTTGAAAACCATATAAAATAACTCTGAATTGTTTGTAGTTAGCGCAGGGTCAAAGTGTTTGATAAATCAATTCCTTCTCATAAAAATATTTACTCCATTATAAAGTGCCATCAAATGTCATGTGCATTACAGAAAATAATAATAATAATAATAATAATAATAATCATCATCATCATCATCATCATCTTTATTTATACCCCGCCACCATCTCCCCCAATGGGGATTCAGGGCGGCTTACATGAGGCCAAGCACAAACAACGAATTATAGCAAAATAAAACCAAAAACACAAGCAACAACATAATAGTTACATAGAAACATATGAATACAGTGAGCAATAGAAAAATGCAATATACACAATCACAATGACAATGGGTGGGCCGCATGTACAGGACAAAATGGTAAAAACTCAGGGTGAGATGAAAGAGGAACAGGTTATTTGCGAGGGAGAGCTCATAACAGGGTTGTCAAATGTAATGTGTCACATCCCTTCGCCAGTCACATGCAGTTCCCAACTGGTCTCATTCACGTGGCCTTTGAAACCAAAAAGGTGTTTTTGAGGGTCTCATGAATGAGGTCAGTTGGGAGGCACATGCTCCCTGTTCTCTTACTCACTTGCCACTGGGATCAACCTGAGGGACACAGGCTCCTTGTAGCTGCTGCTGTCACCTCCTCCCATCCCATCGGGCCACCCTCTCATGAAGTAGCCACCCTATTTTCTCACAGTAATCCAGTAGTCCAAGAACTTGCTCAATAGGCAAGGGGAAGCTGTGCCCCTCCATCAGTATTAACAGCCACAGATTATAAGCCAATGTACTCGTTCCATCACATGTAGTATGTCCCCAAGAAACCAGAAAGATAATAAAGATGGGTGAGTTTAAAAATATGAGAGCAAAAAAATTTTTTAATCAGGGGATTAAAAATGCCAACAGAAGGCACCAAGCAGATTCCAGGATGTACCAAGTTCCAATGACACACAAAAAAAGGAGATAAGGAATATTGTGGTGATTAGGATGTGGAAGATGTCATTCTTTGGAGTTTTTCAGTAAGATAAGAAGAAAAAAGAAGTGGGAGAGAATCAACGAGGGCAGGAGGAGAAAAGGGAGATTTCATATGTTGGTTGTTACAAGAGGACAAAGTGAGGAAACCATCAGAAGGAGGAATTAATGTGATCTCACTAGTGACTGAAATGGACCACAGTCACAACTTTGTTGATAGCTTAATGCAAGCCGCTATTCCGGGCGCATTTCTTCTGTACCAAAGTGCTAATAATACTGCTTTGAACATTCCACAAGCCGTCTGTAATGAATTAATTCTTAATTTTCAGGACTGTCACTGTCTCTTGGATATCGCTCCCCATGCCATTGAGCGGCTCCACAGCATTCACATTTATCCAATTGTCATCTTCATTCGATACAAAAATGCCAAGCAGATCAAGTAAGTATGAAATGTGGTTTGTGGTTGTATGGGGGATCTCATCCATTCATATCCTGCTCTTTAAAGAAGATTCCAGTATTTGTTGACCTCTTGAGTTTACCCACAATCTTGCATCTGCCATACAGATGCAAGATAGATACATACATAGTATTAATTAGATGCTATGTATGTTTTGAACATGGGTGGAGGCAGTAAGTACCGCTATTTTTGACTTGATTTTGTTTTAGTAAAATGGTATAGTTAGATCTTCAGTAATGTGCCTTGGTGGCAAAAAGGATAAAATCAGCATCTGTCTTTAGAGAACTATGACTTTGTCCCTCTGCCTCTTCCCTCATCAAGGTATGATCAATTCTACGATAAATTGAGGGTATTAGAAAGGCCAGTGGGTATAAAAGGATGGAGAAGCAAATGGAGGCATGCATCAAAGGCTTTATAAAAGAGAAAGGTCTTCCAATATTTTTCTAAATACTTTATAAGGGCTGGCCATTGACAGAGATAGGAGCAGGAAAGACGTGAAACAGCAATAGTGACCCAAGGTATAGGCCAATCGTGGGCAACTGCACCAGCTCCAGGTGGCTTCCTAAGTGGACTAAAATGGCAAAACACCAAAAGAAAGAAAGAAAGAAAGAGATCAGAAATGGACTTCTGATTTTGAAAAATGTCTATATTTAAGTTAAAACAGGGCAGAGGGGCACAGCAACGTATTTTAAAGGTGAAGCCCCACTCCTGAAAGCTTCAAAAACAGGCCATTAACCCTATTTTGGGCCAGAAAAGAGGCAATGGAGAAAATCTGGAGTGGTTGAGAGCTATGAGGTATATGCATGGCCCCCGGGCCACGTTGTAACGGATCTAACTCACCTTAGAAAATTGGTACGTGGCCTACCTTAAAAGGCCGGCATGTCAGCAGCCATTTTGTGACTCTCAAGGAATAGCAGCACCAGTGGAGAAGCTATTTGCATGAGAGCGACCTGATTGGCCGGATGCAAATGAGCGGGTGCCAAGATTTGAAAGATGAGCGGAGTTAAGGATGTATGTCAGGTTAAAGATTGTTAGAAAGCAGTTTTCATGTGTTAATATGAAAGAGGAAAGGCTTGAATGAAAGTCACACTGAAACATTATGTAACGCCTTCATAAAACAATATTTACCTCATTTGTAACCACCAAGCATTTATACTTTTGAAACCATCACACTTTTGTCACAAAAAGAATACAAAAAGGAACACTAAAGGTGGCAGAAAAATTACACAACCTTTGTTTTTTTACATTTTGGTGGCAGCGCCTTGTCCTCCTTTTCACATTTTGGTCCAGCAGTCGGATATCTCAAAATAGCTGGACAGAGAAGGAGGGAGTTCCTTTTTCACACACATTTTTCCCATGCTATCTTCAAATAGAAGACAGTAAGGAATCATCTTCCTTGATTCTATAATTTGCTGATAGACCGGTGCATTGTATGTTTTTGCCCTGTCTCCCCTTCTGCTTCCTCACCCTTATTGTGCTTCAGTATGTATATTTACGTTTTAAACATACTAAATGTACCAAGTTTGTATGAAAATGTGACTTTTATTTTCTGTGCTGGTCTTTGACCTAAATAAATGATTCGATTTGATAGGAAGCGAGCATATAAACATGTGAAGGAAAAATTAGATAAAAATGAAGAAATTGAAGAAGCAACTTCAGACAGTTTACACAGGGAAACAGGAGTTATTAAGTGTTGCATCTTGAGTTTGAAAAGGTTGCTTTTGTGAATAACTACTCCCAGAATCCCATTGGCTGTGCTTGTTGGAGGATTCTGAGAGCTGTAGACCTACAGACTAGATTTATTCTGGTTACATCTTATGATCAGAAACAAGCGAGACCTAGGTTGGGCAGGCAAAAGCAAAACAGATGTGGGAGCAGAACAACTGTATTTCAGCTTGGGGTGGGCATTGGATTGCATTGAAGATATTAGCAATCTTGGATTGTATGAGAAGTGTATCTATTATGGTTGTCTATATAGAAATGATTTGCACAGCCACCAAACTTCAACAGAAAACCAAATACCTGTTGGGGACAGCAGATCTCGTTGCCTGTTGCAGCAGTTCAAAGGCTGATTCACTTCTGCTTCTGCATTGCTATACCAGATTGCCTTCCATTCTGGACACCAGAGGGCATATCCAACCCACAATTGTATTTATTCAAAACTCATGTTTGGCTGCAGGAATGGTTAGTTACTTAGGGTCCCATAAAAATTAAGGATCTTCTTTTCTATTTGTTTGTCGCAGAGAGCAAAAGGATCCTATCTTCCTGAGGGACAAAGTTACACAGAAACATTCCAAAGAACAATTTGAAGCGGCTCAAAAAATAGAGCAGGAATATAGCAAGTATTTTACAGGTTTGTATTTGATTGCAGTTAAGAAACTGTCACAGTGTGTTGGTTTATGTGCATTGTGCCTAAAACCCTCTTAAATTAATGACCAATCCCATCATCATCTTTATTTGTATTCCACCCTCTCTCCCTGAGAGGACTCTGGGCAATTTCAACAGAAATGGCAGACATTCAGTGCCAAACACATTCATAAATAAAAATGCAAAAACAAACTAATCAAATATCAAAAGGAATCAACAGCTACAAAAAAAATTGAAAAAAATTAAATAACATAGCCTACTAATAACCTTGCATTTTGTATGAAAGCAATACACATAAATTATAAAAACACACATGAAAACTGAGATAGTTATTAAAATATTAAATGGCCAATAAAGCCAGGGAGCCACCGTACCAACCCCATAACAACCTAATACCTTTTCCATACATTCCCAACAGACATTGTCAAAGGCTTTATCTGTGTCTAAAAATAGTAACACAGTGTCTCTATTGGGATCTTGTTCTGCCACCTCTAATATTTTTAACACCATACATTCTGGTTTAACTGTCTGCCTGGGAGAAAACTAACTTGATTTCTGTATAATATGTTTTACCAAAATTTGTTTCAATTCGTTTGCTAAAATTTCTGCAAATTATTTATAATCACAATGAGATTGGTCTGACATTCTTAACTTGCCTTTTTTTTTTTAAGGGGTTGTCCAGGGCGGCCCACTTTCAACCATTTGCACTCAGATCATGACGATGGTTGATCAAGAACAAAACAAAGTCCTGTGGATCCCAGCCGGGCCTCTATAAACACATGCTGTGAAAAGACTGAAGCTCTAAGACAGATTGTACATAAACCATGGATAAGGTTTTCTGGTCCCTTAATGGCTGCCTGTATACTGGCTGCAAACAAGAGTTCTTCATGAGCGAGGTGGTCCTGGAAACCAACAAGCGTATCACTGACAGGAATTGCTTGCAGTACAAAAATGGACAAATACAGAATTTCCTTTTTACCTGAGAAGACTTTGCGATACTGCAAAAACAGAGAGGGGGAAAGAAAAAGAAAGGAAGGAAGAAGAGAAAACTTTTTAGGATACGTTTACACCCCCCCCCCCCCCACAAAGTACTTGGTGGTTCTTGTTTACTTGAATATATTTTTTTAACTATCTGGGTTCTTTCCTTTCCCTCCCACCTCTTTCTTCTCTGATACAAAAACAAGAGTGGAGTTTTGAGATGCTGAGTGAGAATGACTTTGACATGAAGTGTGGTTCTTTCTATCCTTTGGTGTTTAGAATAAACACATGAATTGTGAATGGTTTTCTCATAGGTACTTGTGTCTTGGAGTGAATTTGGGGGCAGGGGGGATGGAGGGAGAAGCACTTCTCCAGCACATGGGTCAGGCCACTGTTTGTGTTGCATAAACTCTTTTGTCACTTAAAAGTTGTTGCTTCTTTTGTGCATGAATTTAATAATTAAATGTCACAATGTATCCAATCAAACTGTGCTACTTTGTGTATTCAAAATACTAATAATGATAATTTTGAGTTGCTGGGCCTGCGTTTAGCAGGGAATCAGAAGGGGTTCATAGCTAGACCCAGATTGCTTTATTACATGTAGACAGTCTATGTAATTGGACGCTTATGTTTCTCAAGCTTTGTTCTTTGGAGTGTAATAGCCATAGGGTTTTTTTAAAAGAAAAATAATAATAATTAGAAGCACAGCCTAGGTTCTTGGAACTGGGCAACATTTAGAGTGATCTCATAACTGTTAGTCATGTCATTGTTCTACAGATGATAGTATGTGTTTTTTTTTTTGTTTATATATATATTTTATTACGATTTATATTTCCTGCTGTACCAAATTCCATTGTATTTTTTCCCCTTTTTTGCACTTCTGGTATCATTTTTCCAACTGTATGTTTTTTTATTTTCCTTTCAAAAATGCATGTCATGTTTTGTAGGTACTGTAACTTTATTGTTAAAACTTCATTTGAATAGGGTTGCATTTGCGATAACTGTTCCTAACATTTCATTATATAGTTTTTTCCCCCTTTGGCCCTTCTGTTTTTATTTTGTCTTCTTTTTTTATTTGCATTAATTAAAAAGGGATTCTTCTTGCACAGTTGTTCTATGACAGAATTGGTTTGGAAATGTTAATCTCTGTTTTGCAGATACTATTTTATAGTTCGAAATATGAGAGAGAGAGAAGAAAAATGTAGAAAGGCTATTGATAAATTCTTAGTTGAAATACTGTTTATAAGTTGAGGAACAGCAGTTATATATTTTTTTCAAAGAGGGAGGGCAGAGTGGGACTTCAGCGGTACAATTGAAAAAACCTGGTACTGTTGCAACATTAAATTTTCTGTACTAAAAAAGTCACTTTGTATCAAAAATGAAAAAGAATTAAAGAAACGGAGTATTGTGTTAAATAAAGGTCAATTTCTATAACTTGACTTTGTGTAGAATAATTCAAACAAATCCCAAATCAAAAGCAAATACAATTCAAACATGTAAAGATAGATTAAATTGTACCAATAAAAAGAAAACAAACATTCAAAGCTTCCCACCACAACTGATGCCAAATGCATGTCTGGAGAAAAAAAATTACACAAGCCAACAAAAATCAAACTTTTTGTAATTATCAGAAATGAGAGTAGCACAGTTTAAATCATTTTTTATGCTGATTTTAAATATTTTTTTCCCATCATGTCAACTTTTAAAAATACGATTAATGGTACATTACAGCGGATTACTGTAAAGTCTGCACATTTCACATCATATTCATGTAACACAGGCCAACAAGTATTTTTCATCAGATATAGTTTTAGGTCATTCTTAAAGTGTTTTTTGCACTGAATTCAGATCTGTGTTTATTTTTTTCTCTATCATGCATAGTTTTTGTGATGAGGCTAATTGAATAATTAATGCATTTACACACTGATATCAGTTGGATTCTAATGATATCAGTGCGTAAATTCATTAATTATTCATAAATGCATTATGTTTTAACTTTCCTTAAAAATTTGGACTTACAATTTAAAACAATTGGCAGTCTTCAGAAAGAACTTGAAGACCTGGCTGTTCCGATGCGCCTTCCCTGAATAGGAAATCTCCAATACCAAGTCCCATAAGCACTTTATTAGAATTATGATTGCCGCACACTGCACTTGCCCTATAAGCCTTACATATTATCTGTCACATCAGCACTTTTAATCCTGTACCCTTTACTCTGGCCCAGCCCAGTTTTACTGCGTTTTGGTGTATTGTTTATTGCTTGTTGTTTTAATATTGCTTTAACTGTCTTTAATTTGCTTTAGGTGTATTGTTATGTTGTGTATTGAGGCCTTGGCCTTTGTAAGCCGCATCGAGTCCTTCGGGAGATGCTAGCGGGGTACAAATAAAGTTTAATAATAATTAATAATAATAACAATACAGATAAAGACATACAAGAACTGAAGATTGGAAAAGAGTTCAACTATTCACAATACTCTGATAATTCAAATCTCCAGACAAAATAACAAAATACAATTTTAAAAGACAAGCATCCATTTTAAACAATTTGGTTTAAAACAATGCAACACTTTGTAGCCCATTTTTTAAAACTTTCCATTCTAAAAGCCTGTTGGAATAAAAAGGTTTTAGCCTGTGGATAGAAAGACAGCAAGGAGGGCCATTCGGACCTTCCCAAGATGGGGTTCCAGAGTCTAAGGGCAACCACCAAAAGGCCTCTCTCCCATCCTCATCCACTATGCTTGCGGCAGTGGTTGGTTGGAAAGATGAGCCACTCCTGAAGATCTCAGAGCTCGGAAAAGCTCATACATGAAGATATAGCCTGACAGATGGCCTGGACCTAAGCCATATATGGTTTTAAAGTCGCAACCAGCACTTGGAATTGGGTCTAGAAGCAAACTGGCAGCCAGCAGCACTGTTTCAACAATGACTCCTAAAACCTGCCTCATCATACAGTGCTTCCAAACACTCTTCAAAGGCAGCTTCATGTAGAATGCATTACAATAGTCCAAAGGGGATGTAACTAAGGCAGGAATTGCCATGGCTAGATCTGACCTTTCAAGGAAGAGTTATACTCAGCACACAAGCTTTAAATGTTCAGAAGCACTCCTGGCCACCATGGAAACCTAGTCCTCTAGGCTCGAAGCTGAGTGGAGAAGTACACTCAAACAGTGAACATGTATCCTAAGAGGGAAAGTTACTCCATCTAACACAGACTGGATCCTTATTTCCTAATCTGGTTTTTTGGCTGGCCAAAAGCACCTCTGTCATGACTGCATTGTTTTAATTTGTTTGCCCTCATCCAGTCTTACTGATGATAAGCAGTGGTTAAGAACAGGGGTGGGGAGCAGAACAAGACACACGTGCAAGACAAGGAAAAGCAAAGAGACACACATATTTGCAAGCAGAACAGAAAGGAAGGCGACACCAACATATAGTTATGGTGACCCCATTTGGAGTGCAATCCATAGTTTAACAAATTCTTGTTTAGAACCAAGATATTCAGGATGAGGATGGAAATGAGTACTACAGCAGATTGTCATCACCTACTTCACCTACTGAGCTAGTCCCCCTTCTGCCCTGTTTAATAAGCCTGGAAGGAGAAGTGTCTACACCACATGTGGTGGCTTTCACCTCTCCACAGGGTTTGCAAATTGAAAGTACCCAATAACACTGGACAAGTAGGAGCCAAGGTTACGTTCACTGGATCTGTATTAAGTAAGGCATCCAATTCAGAGAAGAATTAAAATGATTGTTCTTCAGATGAGTGTTCTGTACAATTGGATTTCCACAGTTCTGTTATGGTTCATGCTCTTATGAGCTCATCAGACAGTTGCTAGGCGCCATTTGTATGCACTTAGGAAACAGAGGCTCACAGGAGTCCCACAGAGGCCATCCCATGACATAAGTGAATTTCCTGTGTGACTTCATGGGGCTCTGTTTCCTAAGCACATGGAAATGGGGCCCAGCAGTCATCTTCAGGAGTCAGATAGTACCTGACTCCAAACATCAGAAAGTGGGAAGAAGTTGGGGAAAGTCACAGTAAGTACATGGGATGGTTGGCCATCCCAGAAGATGAGGAAAGACAGAGGGAACGAGTTAAGACTGTTCCTTATACTTTTCCCCACTCCTCTGATGAAGTCTATAACATCTGATGGAATGGGAGGCATTAATTTTGTCCACATATCCAGTGGAAAGAGTGCAATGGTACATGAATGAGGTCATAAGGACTCACAACCCTTAGAACCTCAAAGCATTCTAGAAGAGTCAGCCTGCAGCTCCCATAGTGAAGCCATATTTTCAGATATTTACATGAGGAAGCCTTACTCGTATTTGGTGGCCAGCTATCACCATCATTGTAAGTATTCTCACTTGTGGCCATTAGGTGGCAAACATCTCAAAGCAGATCCTTAGGTCTGTGCAGTGCAGCTTTTCAGAAGCACAACAAATATATGAAGTAAATGTCTGATTAGTAATGAGTAATCCTTGCTTTATTTGCTGAAAATGACATACAATATGTAATTTGACATTCCGGGATGACATATAATATGTAATTTGAAATTCCTAGGTAATGGATACAAAACAAAGAAATAGGCAACAACTATAGTGCCATTTTCTCCTCCTAGCAGAAATTATCAGGCTTTTAAGGCGAAGTTCATGCTATGCCATAATTCTACAAGGCCAGAAATAGCATACTATGAAAAATGTAACTTCTTCTCAGTGAATGTTTAAAAATGCCTAGCGCTTGTTGTTTCTGAAATGACTGCTCAAGAAATGCTTGAGGAAATATATGAGACCAAAAGTGTTACCAATTGAGATTTATAGTGATCAGGATTTTAAATGCCCTGTAAAACTCATTATTCTTTCTTGCAAATAGCAGGAACAGAATAAATTATTCAAAGTAGCAATGAACCCATTCCCATTCATCTCATTTGATGCATTCACCACAGTTACAGATTTGGATCATTATTACATGCAGGCAACATTTTCTGTTTCGAAATCACTCTTGATCGGCAAAATTTAGTAATGCTATGCCTGTTCTAAGATGACAAATATTATTTGGGAATGTCAATGCAATCCCATAAGTATCAAAACATAAAAGCTGTGCTCTAAAAGATACTGGAACTTATGTCATGGTATGGCTATGACTTCCAGTATTGCCAACAATTTTGAAAAACACTATAAAGATTTGTGGTAACAAATGCTGGTGTCTGAAGCCAAATTCCAAACGACAAATGCTATGCCTTAAATTTAATTTCATTCTCCTAAAAGGCACTCATTCTTTGAACTGTATGTTTAGGTGGATAGTGTCGATATGGTCCAAGAACATGTTAAGGTTTTCTCCTTTGTGGCTTCAAATGGTGAGCACATCATCCACACAAGGGAACCATGTAGTGAGCTTTATTGTTGCTGTTTCCAAGGCTTGTTTCGCAAAATATTTCTCAAAAAGAAAATAAAGAAAAAATACAATTTCTAGGTGCCCTAGTCACCACAAACCAAACCAACAATTGGGCCACACAGTATACAAAAAACCCATGTACACTGATAGAAATCTACATAAAATAATAATAATCATCATCATTATCATTGTGATGTCTCGGCCTGTTTATTTCCCAGTTGGACTGTTCCATTTTGCCAAGTTTAGGGGAGAGCTTAGGTTCCCCCTAGAGGCCGAGTTCAGTTGGTGCAGCCCATTCTGACTCAGAGCCAGAATGGGCTGGTTATAGAACTTAGTTTCCCATTCTTTGTTGGTCTTAGCTTGTTGACATTTGCCAGATAGTGTCTGGTCTGGCCTAGCAATTTGAACAGGCCATCCTAATCACGTATTTGCCCTAAGGTTTATAATATACGTTCCATAGATAGTTGTATTTGCCACGTTTCATAGATAATATGTATTTGCCTTATAGATAGTTCATAGATAATATATGTAATAAAGGATAGATAATATTTGTCATAGATAAATAGTTACATCATCCCCCATAGTGTATAGTTATATTTACCTCATAGAAATAGTAATTTGTTACCTCAGAGTTATATTATCATAATCAATTCTCACCTTTGTTCATTGTTTGTTCATTCACCTTAATTATTTAGTAAACAATTGTTAAACTTAATATTGTTTATAGAGTTTTATTTTGGGGGAATTATAGTAATTAGGGCATACCGATGGTCACTGGGAAAATAGCCAGACACATTTAGGTTTCTCATTAGATCTTCCTGGTGTGCCATCACAATCATCATCATCATCATCATCATCATCATCATCATCATCATCATCATCATCATCTAATAATACTCCAGGACAAAGAAGGAGCACAATCAAAACTCTGGTGGATCATGCCAACAGAATCTGTGAGCCCCACCTCCTTCAAGCTGAACTGAACCACCTAAACCAGGCTCTACATGCCAATCGGTACTCTATGACAATCATCAAAATT